AGCCACTTAGAAAGAGTGCGTGAAGCGGACAGGTGGGCGGAGGAAAGCTACGCGCATGAGCGCGTTAATGAGCGCTGGGAGACCGGTAATGGCACTAGTCCTAATTGGTAGGCGGTGAATGAGCTCCGTTGACTCTTCAATGTTCACATCGTGGGGACACCTGCTTTCTTGCATCATAGACAACTGAAAAGCGTCAGTTTGGCTTTACTATATCTTTCTCTTGCGTGTTTTACGTTTGGTGCCCCTATAACTTTCCTTGGGCAACACTTTGTTGACGCAGTATCTTATCCAAGAGTTCCTCATTGGATGATTTCACCTTTCGTCGCAAGTTATTCTATTTCAGTCCTTTACGAGAACCCCGCTACGATCTCTCAACTCTTACCCTAAATACCCTGCCCGATTCCTTTCTTGACAATTTTGTCATTGTTCCCACCCCATCTTCACCATGGGTGTTCCGAAATTCTTCCGCTGGCTGAGTGAGCGGTATCCGTCAATCTCGATGCTGATCGCAGAGAGCCGGATACCCGAATTTGATAGCCTATACCTCGACATGAACGGCATTATTCACAACTGTACGCATAGTGACAGCGATTCCCCGACGTTTCGCATGACGGAGGATCAAATGTTTATTGCGATCTTCAATTACATTGAACATCTATTTGGCAAGATCAAGCCCAAGAAGCTGTTCTATATGGCGGTAGACGGTGTTGCGCCTCGCGCTAAGATGAATCAACAACGTGCCCGCCGATTCCGAACCGCCCTCGACGCGGAGACCGCGAAGGAGAAGGCCATCCAGCAGGGCCTAGAGATGCCAAAGGAAGATGCATTTGACAGCAACTGCATCACCCCGGGTACCGAGTTCATGCAGAAATTGACGAAACAACTCAAATACTTCATCAACAAGAAAATCTCGGAAGACACAGATTGGCAAGGCGTGGAAATCGTACTCTCTGGCCATGAGGTTCCAGGAGAAGGCGAGCACAAGATTATGGAATACATTCGCTGCTCGAAAGCGCAGCCCGACTATGAATCAAACGTTCGCCATTGTCTTTACGGTCTGGATGCCGATCTGATCATGCTGGGTCTTCTCAGCCATGACCCTCACTTCTGCCTTCTTCGCGAGGAAGTGACCTTTGGTCGCCAAGTATCCAAGAAGTCCAAGGAACTGGAACACCAAAACTTTTATTTGTTGCATCTGAGCGTGGTTCGGGAGTATTTGGAATTAGAATTCCAAGAGCTAAAAGGAGAAGGCGTTCTGGATTTCCCATTCGATATGGAGCGTGTCATTGATGATTTCATCCTTATGGCCTTTTTCGTTGGCAATGATTTCTTGCCAAACCTGCCAAACCTACATATCAACGAGGGTGCCCTTGCCCTTATGTTCAAGCTCTACAAGGAGGTGCTGCCAAAGATGGGCGGCTACATCAATGAGCAGGGTGTTATCAACGTGCAACGATTGGGCATGCTTGTGACCGCACTTAGCGCTGTGGAATACCGATTCTTTGAGGCGGAGAACTCCGATGCCCAATGGATCAAATCGAAGAAAGACTCAAACATTGATTATTCGAGCTCGCAACAGAAGAAAGAGCTTACCCTCACTCCTTCTCAGAAGGAGATCCTTAAGACGGTCAAAAAGTACGTTCTGAATCGGTCTGACAAGGCTTCGGAACCTCTTGACCTCCCTCCTACACTCCCAGCTCGTGACCGCACTTTCGTCGAGCAGCTTGCGGATGACCTCCGGTTGTCTTGGGCCTCCGTTGAAAATGAGAATGGTGATCGGTTCATGAGGCTCTCGTTGCCTCCGACCCAGGGTGATAGCGATGACGATGAAGAGGATGAGGAGGCATCGATGGCTGTTCAGCGTATTGTTCGGAAGTACGAGAAGGCCAAGGTTCAGGAGATGACCGCTGAGGAAGCCCAGAAGGCCGCGCAGGAGAAATATGACGCCAAGTTCCTTGAGTGGAAAGATAATTATTACCGAACCAAGTTCGGTTGGGGCCTCGACAACAAGGAAGAGATGAAGAAATTGGCGCAAAATTATGTGCAAGGACTCCAGTGGGTCTTGTTCTATTATTACCGTGGCATTGCATCGTGGCCTTGGTTCTTCCAGTACCACTATGCCCCTATGATCTCTGGTTAGTAGTACCAAATCCTTTTTTTTGGATTATTTTGATTGCTGACGGTGGAACAGATGTGAATGATGGCCTTGGTGCAGACATGGACTTCAAATTGGGACAGCCTTTCCGGCCGTTCGACCAGCTCATGGGTGTCTTGCCCGACCGCAGCAAGAAGATTGTGCCTACTGCCTATTGGGACCTGATGACCTCGCCAGAATCCCCCATCTACGATTTCTACCCTCGTGATTTCGATCTCGATATGAACGGGAAGAAGATGGAATGGGAAGCCGTTGTCAAGATCCCATTCATCGACGAGAAGCGGCTGTTGTCCGCCCTCAAAACGAAAGAAAACCTTCTTTCTGCGGACGAAAAAGCAAGGAACGACTTTGGGGCCTGTCTCAAATTCACCTATTCCCCAGATGTGAACTTTGTTTACCCCTCCTCAATGCCTGGCGTATTCCCCGATCTTCCTAGCTGTCGTTGCATTGAGAATCTCTTTGACCTTCCCGTCATGGATGGTTTGGTGCCCTACGCTGGCTTGATGGACGGCGTGCACCTAGGCGAGGCAGCCCTTGCTGGTTTCCCTAGCATCAAGACACTCCCCCACCATGGTCAATTGGGTTTCCATGGTGTTTGCGTGTTCAATCAAGACAGCCGTAACGAGAGCCAGGTTATTACACTCCTTGACCCCGGCAGCCGGTCGAGTGTCGAACTGGCTAAGACGAAGCTTGGGAAGCGTGTCCACGTGGGCTATCCATTCTTGCAAGAAGCTCTTGTGGTTCGTGTCTCGGACGAATTATTCGATTACATTCTCCCCCCTGGAGAGGAACACCCTTTGGCTATCCCCCATACCCCTCAGCAAATTGAGCAGTGGAAGCGGAAGGCCAACAAGATCGAGGGCACCTACAGCAAGCGTCTTGCAATTATCATTGGCGATGTCGAGTCTATGGTCCACATTCAACTTCTGAAGGGCATGAGCAAGACAGACGATGGAGCCACAATCAAGGAATTCGCTGATATACCTGGCCAAGAGACGGACTATGCTCTACAGGTTGTTGTTGATGACGTGATCAACCCTGATCAACGTTTCATTGAGCGAGAAGCTCTCTCTATCCAAGAAGAATTCCCAGAGGGCTCCCGTGCCTTCTTCTTGGGTGACTTCAATTACGGAAGACCTGTGTATGTTGGTGGACATGAAGACGGAAAGGTGAATGGATTGGTTGCGGCCGTGAAAGGTCGGGAGCCAGAATTTGGTCGAGAACGTGTTAGAGCATCGGAGCATCTTTGCCCTTACATGCCTTCGTACGCTGTTGCGCGAAGTCTTCGCCTCAATCCTTTGGTACTGGCTAAGATCACATCTTCCTTTACTGTTGACATCGAAGGCCAACGTGCGAACCTGGGTCTTAACCTGAAGTTTCAGGCAAAGCAACAGAAGGTTCTTGGATACTCTCGTCGGGGAGAATCCGGCTGGGAATTCAGCCAGAAGGCAGTGGAGCTGATTCAACAGTACATGATCAATTTCCCCGATTTCATTGCTGGCATCCAGCGCAACCCTCAAAGCGACCGTTATTCTCCGACCGATTTCTATCCCGAGGAAATTGCTGCAGCCAAGATGAAGGAGATTAAGGATTGGCTCAAATCTATCGAAGCCAAGAACTTCGAGAGAGTGCCCCTTGACGCTGAGCAACTCGACTCGGATATTGTGATGTTGATTGAGCAGGATGCCGATGCTCTCAATGCGTCCCTGCCAGATATGCAACCGAAGAAGGTTCGTGGTGTACCCCGTAGTGCCCTCCTTCGGCCTTCCGATGTCGAGCACCGTCTCGGAAACCAAAGCTTTAGGCTTGGCGATCGGGTTGTGTATGCCCAAGATTCTGGTAAAGTACCCATCGCTACTCGTGGCACTGTTGTCGGTCTCACCAGAACCGCGCGAGCACTTCTGCTTGATGTTGTCTTTGATGTGTCGTTCATGAGCGGCACTACACTAGGTGGCCGATGCTCACCATTCCGTGGCCAAACTGTTCTGGCGTCTTCCCTCCTCAACATCTCCAACCGACAACTTATCACCAGTTCCCGTGCTACAGCTAGCCAGCAAACCCAGCAGGCACAGACTCCTTTGACAGTTGCCGGATATGGCGCCCCCATGGGTCCCCACGGACAGGGACAGCTGAGAAATGCATCTACTCCTGCGCCTCTGAGAGGCTCTTTCCGAGGAGCTGTCGCCGGGCAGGGCAACGGAGCTGGGCGTGGAGGTCGTGGAGGTCTCAACAACGGACAGCAGACTACTCTCCCCTTCCGTCCCCATACCAATGGTGGCGGTGTTCCCCGTGGCCCTCGTGGCAGCGGCCGGGGAGGTGCCCGAGGTGGATATGTTGCGATGGATAACGGCGATCCCAGTGAGGGTGTTATCCAAAACAACCCTGACTTCCGCCCGCAGAACTACTCTCACGTCCCGCCCCCGCAAGGATTGGACCGAGGACGTGGCCGTGGCCGCGGTCGTGGTAATGGGTTCCGTGGCAGAGGAGGTCGTGGGCGAGGTGCTCCCCAGCCCAACCCCCAGTGAATGATGGACGTGATATTCCGGAGAGAAGATATGATGAGAAGAGAGAAGAAACGATGAAACGATTGGATTTGAACCCTGTATGTATATGGACGCTTTAGATATGTGTGCCCTGCCTAGACGTTTATGTCTAGGCAGTGCTTATATCTATTGAAGATGAATGTACGATGGACTTGAAACCAAAACTCGATCCTCGTATTTCCTCGTCTGAGATCTTTTTAGACATAGACAATAACTGCAACATGCTAGATAAGATAGGTATGGCATTACATCGATCTCTGCTAGCCCTAACAAACAACATCTCCAAAAGGGTTCCCCTCTACTCAAAGTCCAATAGGCCTTTTCCGAAACAGCATCTCAGTACTCATACTTGGAAGAATATGCTCCCCAACTACAAGATTGGGAGGTCTCTTTCCTCCTAGATCTTTAACGAACTTGAACTCATAGTCAAGGATGATGCGACTCAAGATCGCCTTCAAAGTATTCGCCGCGAAAAACCGACCGGGACACGCCTGGACCCCGAACCCGAAATGCATGTTAGTAGTGGTGATAGAAACGAAATGGGCGGAAGATGTCGGCTTCTCAGCTTGTATCTTCTCACCACCATTTGGCATAGTGGATTCTGCGAGCTCAGGAGTGAGGATAAAACGGTCCTGGGGGTTATGGCACCAGCGAAACCCATCAAAGGCTATTGGATTTTCGACGAAGGCATCATCTTTGCTAATTGGACCCGCAGCGAAACATATGTGTGTTTCTACTGGAAGAACGAGACCATCATGGAGGGTGATGGGTTCTTTGACGATGCGATGGAAGTTCACTAGACAAGGTGGTTAGAGGACATCGAATCACAACCCGTCTCCGACCGATTATACGGCGTAGCCATAATAAAATATTTGCGTACTCACATTCGCCAGGCGGAGCGAAGCGTTGAGACTCGCGCAAGAAGCTATCCAGACGGGACTGCTCTTTCAGCGAAGCCTGAGTCGCCTTATACCAACCATCAGGTAGAGTCCGGCTCATTTCCTCCCTCAGGGGCTCCATGTACTCGGGCCTAGTAACCAAATCATAGAGACAGTGACACAGGGCCATGGTGCTGGTGTGAGTAACCGCCAGTGTGACCAAGAGCAGCATGTGATGCGCTAGTGTATCCGGTCCGAGGTTCTCATTCTTTTCCTCGCTCAGATCCATCATCCACTGCAAGAAATCATCTGGCTTGGTATAGTTTGGGTCTTTAGCCTGCTGTGCCAGTCTGCGTTCGTGGACCAGCGGAATAAAAAGCTCTTTCGCGAAGCGTAACTGCTTCTTCATTGTCCGGACACTGGGGAGGAAGGGCGCTACGATGGGACGGAGGTATTTTGGGACTGGACGGAGTAGGAGAATTGTGATCCCCACGTTCACGGCGTAGTTGCTTGCGACGTTGAGCCATTCTTCGTTTTCGCGTAGGATGTCACCGGCCATCATGCGGGAAGTCGAGAGGGCGATTAGCCGGGTGAACATCTCGCATGGGTTGATTCGAATCCAGGTGTCTGTGTTCGGTAACCATCTGTCAGTATCCGAGCGTTGATCTGTAAAGTTGGTCCCACAAAGTAGTGTTCGCATATCCCACCTTCGCATCCTGGGAGAGCGGCGTCGAATGCCGCTCGCAGCTCGTCGATGACACCGGGGACGACTTGGGCTATTCGAAATAGATTAATTGTCTGGTTTCTAGGTTGAAAATAAGAGAACCAAATGATGTTAGTACCTAGATTGGGCGTCAACCTTTTCCGTACGGTCAGAGCAGGTAAAAGAGTATCGATGATGATGTTGGTATACTGGCCCAATGCGTTCTGTGAAGTAGTATATCAGCTCCAACCTCTCAACGTAACGTAGTACAGATCAATCTCATGGGATTACTTCATATTGGGCATGTAGAGAACTGAGTTTTGCAGGAGGAAGATGTCTCAGTTCATCCTGATATTTCACTGGCAAGACGACCAGTTCTCCATCGCTGGTGAGCAGGCGAAATGGACTATCCTTGTACTAAAGATTGCAGACATATGAGAATAAGCTGAACGACCGATTTCATATATACTGACCTTTTTATATCCCTCACTGATCATCGAGGCAGCTTTGGGGTAGTATAACAATCGATTGATGAAATCTGGTAGATACGCATTGTACCTGATAATTGGGATATGCTTCAAACTAGAAGCTGGTCGTTGAAGTAGATATAACACTACAACTAACACCCCAACGAGGGGCCAGAAGGGTAGGGTCATCTTTGATGAAATCTTAGGTGTCTTTTAGAGCAGGGGAAAGGTACTTAGATAAATGATTCTCCGGAGACTTGGATTGTCCGGGATATTGGAACCGGGGAGATTAAGGAAGTTGTTTGGTGGTAGGAAGAGTAAGAAAGGTTGAGAGAGGGTGGCACAGGATAATTCGGATAGTATTAAGGAGTAAGACTTTTTAATTTAAGAGCGTTTGCTGGACAAAGGGTCCGTTTGAGGTCTCAGAGTGCGGAAACTTGGAGTACATTATTCACACAAGGCAAAGGCCTCTGTCTATTTCCCTTTTTGGTCTTTGCAATATACAAAACGCCTGGCTCAGATGCAAGTAGACATACACGAAACCCCATAGAAAATCATTCAAAGCCAACCCAATCACCTTCACCCTCGTCAGCATCAACCATCTGATCATCAGGAACCTCGGCATCTTCGGTTTCCATAGCCAACAAAGCAGTGCTGGTTTTCTTGTTTCCAAGAATAGGCTTCGAGAGCAGGTAGTTGAGATCGTAAAGGTTCTTTTCTGTCAACCGCTTCAGGTTCTCGCGAATATCATCGACAGCACGCTGGACGGCACGAAGCTCGGTGGCAAATGTACCTGTGTTATCCTTAAAGTAACGGCCATGGCTGCTGAACAAAGACTCGATCCACATAAGGTTGAACTCAAGATGGGGTGTTTCTTCGGCGGCATGTGCAACGAATCGGAGAAGGCGAGGTAAATAGACGGAGGGCACGGACCGAACCACATGGGGAATATCTGACGGAGGGATCGCTTCATATACGACACGGAGTAGCTTTTGTTCATTCAATCGGAAGGCCATGATAAGAGCTTTGAGGAAGGTGTTCTCATCATCCACAGTGTTGGATGCGGCGGCTTCCTTGGCAGCATCTAGCGTGGCAAGGATGCTTGACGGTGTGATTGTGATGTCCAGATCATAGGGATCGAAGATGAAGTCAGTATCCAGGCTGTAGACAAGGAGTCCTTCGGTCGAGGCGGCACAGAATGCTCGTCCAGTCGGCGCGAAATCCACAGATGTCACGCGGACTTCTGGGCGTGTGGTGCGCGCACCGGCATCACCACGTCTCGCACCAGGAAGAGTGCTATCAACACGATCATCATGATCAGATGCTTCACCTGTCTCGTCAATAAGAGCACGGGGACCAGCCTCAGTCATGTCACGACTGCTCAGGAACTCTTGGGTGCCATCGATCGAGGTGTTGACGGAGACGGTGAACTTCTTGATCAGTGAACCTGTTCCAACATCATACAAACAGATATACTTGCTGTTTCCACCGGCCAGAATACAGCTACCGTCTGCGCTGTATGTGATTCGATTGAAAGACTTTGTGCCTGCGGCATTGGCAGCAGTACGGCGGTCGGACACTCGGCGTCCTCCAGAGACGTCACGGCGACCGTCAACTCCTCCTTGCTGCACAGCATCTTCCACAGACCAGAAGGAAAGCTGGCCGTCTAGGGTAGATGCGGCGACTTGTTGCCCGTCTGGGCGGAAAGCCACACTGAGAATGTCTGACATGAGCTGGAGAGGTTCACTGGTCTGTGACCGACCGAAGATGCTCCAAATGCGGACTGTGTGATCCCAACTTCCACTGACAAGGTGGTTGCCATCAGCAGCGAAAGCAAGACTGGAAACCGGACCCTCGTGGCCGGAGAGCTGGTCAAGCAATTGACCGGTCTGCACGGACCATACGTGAATATCGAAGGAGTCGGGTGAACCGGCACAGATCACTTCTCCACTAGGGTCAACGGCCAACGAGGAGAATGACAGTCGGGATGGTGCTGTGAAGGTTCGGAAGTTACGGTAGCGAATAAGATCCCATGCACGGATAGAACCGTCCAAAGATGCTGTGAACAAGACATTTCCCTTCTTCGCAAACTGACATGCGGTCACTCCGCTGGTGTGTTCCGTAAATGTGACAATGCAGAAGCCTGACTTGACATCCCAAACCTTGATTTTGCCATCATCGGCGGCTGTAACAATTCTCTGACCGTCCGGTGAATATGCGAGGGCGTTCATAGAATCAAGGTGCCCTTGTTGTTTGAGGATATATGACTCGGACTGCCATTCCCAAACCAGCAGCTGACCGTGCTTGGACGATCCGAATGCCAGCCACTCGCCTGATTTGTTGATTGTGACAACATCAATGTTGCTCTGGGAGACACTAGATGGAATGTGTTAGCTGCGAAATGGAGGGAGGGTGTCACAGATTGACGTACCTCAATTGATGGATCATATTGAACTCTGGCAGGTCGTAGAGCCCGAATAGACCGTTGGAAAAGCCTACTACCAGAAGGTTTGTCGGCGCATGGAACGCAGCACAGTTGACCTTGGCATCGTTCTGCATGAAGAAATCCTTTTTGACGATCCTCCATCGGGCTTCGGAAATGTCCTCCATCGTTTCCTCGTCTTTTTTCGCGACATATTCCCAGCGGAAGAGTGCGCCATCTTGGCTGACAGTGTAAATCTGTGGATCATATTAGTATGGTATTTCCAGCTGAGTCAATTTCCAGTAAGCACCTACCACTTCTTGTGTCGCATTGAAATAGGCAGCCACCACACCCTGTCTGTGTCCCGCCAAAGTGGTGGGCTCGAAACCTTCTTCTGGATCCATACTCCATACTCGCGCCGTCAAATCCTTGGCGGCAGTGAGCAAGAAGCGCGAATCGCTAGACCACTCGACACTTTCGATGTTGTCAAAGTGGGCAGCAAGATCCCGGTGTAGAACGAATGGGGCAAATTCAATCTCGCCATTGGTTTCGGTGCCGGGGGTAGAAGGCGTCTGCCAAATTTGCAGGCGTCGTCCTACGCCAACGGCGAAGTGTCGGCCGGACGGGGAGAACTTGAGTGCGGAGACTCGTCCTTTGAAGGAAAAGTGGTGAATGGCGATGCGCCGGTGGAAATTGGTCAAAATTGCGCGGCCATTTTCATCCACAGTCAACAGAAGGTTACCCTTGGGCGAAAGATCGAGACGGTCGATGTTTGTACGGTGCGAAAAAGGCAGGGTATAAGAAGTATTTCTATAAAGGTGATTGTGAGCGGGTTGGTTTCCAAATCACCACAAGAAGGACTGGGCGACACATACTGTACTAGATCAAAGACCGAAACTCGATTGCCTACTGGCGAAAGCAAGCATGTGCCATCGGGAGTAAAGAGAAGATTTCCTTTGCGATATACCGTCCCCAAAAGGTTGGAGAACTAAAATTGAAATTGTTAGTCTTAATCTTCATAATCAAGGCGTTCTGGCAATTGTATGCGATCCAGAATCCAAGCGTAGTACATACCTTGAAGTCTGTCTTCATTTTGGCTGTCGGCGATCTCAAAGATCAAAAAATTAGAGATAATTCAACCAGCTACCGTGATAAGAGCCATCGGATCATATATGCTCCGGTCCCGGACCCAATAAGTACTAGCTCTTCACGCTAAACCCAGATAGGCAAGGCGAGGTATACTCCAGAAAACGAAAGGAGATTCAGGGGGAAGCAGCGACGGGCAGTTCGAGAGATCCAATTTCACATTCGTTCCTCCTTTTCCCTTTTTTTCTCCTTAGGAGTCGACTGATTTTCTCTTCTCAATATCGGTACTCTACACAGGGACCTCCTTCTTCATCTTCTTTTTTGTGTTGATTCCCAATTGTTTTTAATCCCCCCTATAACCCACCATGTCGACCGAGACCGCCACGCCCATTGGCATTGCCAACGTAAGCTATTCGGATGCATCTTCCTTGTGATGTCCTAAAGCTAACTTATCGTTTTTGATATAGCTCCCCAACCAGCGGTGTGTACCTTCGAGTGATTACGGTGTGGATACGAAAGATTCTAATCAAGCTTGTATAGTCACAAGATTGTCGCGAAGCGGGGTGCAGCCTTCACTATTATGGTGTGTTTCACAGTTCGAAGGAAATGCTCCGCGCGTGATGCTAATGGTGCATCGATCAGGTTGCCGGAGAGTCAGGATTGGGAAAGACGACCTTCATCAACACCCTTTTCTCCACCACCATTAAGAACTATGCCGATCACAAGCGCCGCCACCAGAAGCAGGTCGACCGAACTGTGGAGATTGAGATTACCAAGGCTGAGCTCGAGGAGAAGTTCTTCAAAGGTGCGACCCGGATACTCTGGTGTCGGGGGAGGGGTTTCGACTTTCGTGTTTCGATAGCTGATCAGTTGTCGATTTTCTAGTCCGCCTTACCGTCATTGATACCCCTGGATTCGGAGACTACGTGAACAACCGTGATTCATGGCAACCCATTATCGAGTTCTTGGATGACCAGCACGAGTCGTACATGCTCCAGGAGCAGCAGCCCCGCCGAACCGACAAGATTGACATGCGTGTTCACGCCTGTCTGTACTTCATCCGCCCCACCGGACACACCCTGAAGCCTCTCGATATTGAGGTGATGAAGCGCCTGAGCTCCCGTGTCAACCTGATCCCTGTGGTTGCCAAGGCTGATACCCTGAGCCACGCCGATCTGGTTCGCTACAAGGATAGAGTGAGTGGGATAAGTACAGGAGAGGAGAGAATGCGGGCTAATAATTGATTAGATCCGCGCTGTGATCGAAGCCCAGGGCATCAAGATTTACTCCCCACCCGTGGAGGAGGACGATGAGCACGCCGCTTCCCACGCCCGCAGCCTCATGGCTGCCATGCCTTTCGCCGTCATCGGTTCCGAGAAGGACGTCAAGGCCAACGATGGTCGTGTTGTCAAGGGTCGTCAGTACGCTTGGGGTGTCGCCGAGGTGGAAAACGAGGACCACTGCGACTTCAAGAAGCTCCGCTCAATCCTGATCCGCACCCACATGCTCGACCTTATTCACACCACGGAGGAATCGCACTACGAGGCCTACCGTGCCCAGCAGATGGAGACCCGCAAGTTTGGCGAGGCCCGACCACGCAAACTGGACAACCCCAAGTTCAAGGAGGAAGAGGAGACTCTGCGCAAGCGCTTCACCGAGCAGGTCAAGGTCGAGGAGCAGCGTTTCCGCCAGTGGGAGCAGAAGCTCATCTCAGAGCGCGATCGACTCAACAAGGATCTCGAGGCCACTCATGCAGCGTATGTTCCGAACTATTGTTTCGGTGAATTTATTGCTAACCGATCGCAGTATCAAATCCCTCGAGCAGGAGATCGAGGGTTTGCAGGGTTCCGGCACCCGCAGCCACGGACGTCGTTAAGATGTTGCAATTTTACCGGGAGTCGACCCGGATCGTTCAAAAGGGGAGTCGAACCATGCTCTTGTTTTTTGTTCTCTTTTGAGTACCCTATGTCTTGTTCGCGCTTGGAAGCACCTTTGTCTGAGGGCTTGGTTCGTTTTGTTTGTTATATCCATTTACCGCTGGTAGCTAGCGATGGTGTGTCTACAACCTTGATAATAACTTCTTCTGTATTCCGTATGAAATACAGAATTAATTCGTTTGAACTATTCGAAGTAAAGTAATTTTAGTTTAGTCTGGGATGGACTTGGGAGTTGAAGCTCCGAGCTCCATCCCGCATTCTCTAAACTCCGCCAATTCCTCCTCTCCACCTCAACTCGACCATGCCCCGGACAATATTCCCAACCAGGCATATTCACACGCTTAAAACACACAATGGTAGGCTTCAGACGTCCAGACGCCATCCAATCCCAAATCCCCTCCAAACTGCAAGCGCTAACATTCTTCTAGGCCCCGTCAACGCGGTAACCTTCTCAAGCTCCGGCGGCACCTACGTCCTCACAGGCTCCTCAGACCGAGCAGTACACCTTTCGCGCGCTATTCCAAACAACTCCAATAGCGCGACAGCAGTCGAAACCACATCCCCTATCCAAAAATACGAAGCGCATGGCTACTCCGTCCTAGACATCGCCGTCGCATCCGACAACGCACGCTTCGCCAGCGTAGGAGGCGATCGACAAGTCTTCCTCTGGGATGTGGAACAAGGCATCACGACCAAACGCTGGTCAGGCCATAACAGCCGAGTCGAAGCCGTGCAATTTGCCGGCGACGGCGACTCGGTCGTAGTAACTGGTAAGCCTGAATTCCCCCACTTCTCTTCCCAGCATCCAAACTAACATCCCCCAGGCAGTGCAGACACAACAATCAACCTCTGGGACGCCCGATCCACAAGTTACAAACCCATCCAAACCCTCACCGAAGCAACTGACACAGTCTCAACCCTACACGTACATATGGGGAGTTACTCGATAGCAAGCGGGAGCTACGACGGCCATGCACGGATCTACGACGTTCGAACGGGAAAAACGACCGTCGATGTCCTCGCGCACCCTGTAACGAGCGTGCGCTGTTCGAGCGACGGCAACGCGCTGCTTGCTTCGACGCTGGATGGACATATCCGCATGCTGGACCGGATGGATGGGAAGATTCTTAATGCGTTTGGGGGGGAGAAGAGTGTGCGTGGGATTGGGAAGCCGCAACATTCGTATCGGAATTCGGAGCTGCGTGTTCGCTCTGTTTTTGCGATGGGGGATGCGGTTGTGCTTAGTGGGAGTGAGGAGGGAGGGGAAGCTGGGGCGGCTGGGGCGGCGGCGTTTGCTTGGGATGTTGTTAAAGGGGAGGTTATTGCTGCTGTGCCTGTTGGGGAGATGGTTAAGGCTGTTAGTTGTGTGGCGTGGAATGAGGGTGTTGGGGATTGGGCTGCTGGGTGTTCTGATGGTAAGACTGTGTTTTGAGGGTTGGGTTTTGGAGAATTGTGCTAACTGTTGTTTGAAGGTACCGTCAGAGTCTATGGATGAACTGGGCTTTTTTTGTTCCCGAAGACAAGGCTATCATGGCGGAGCGACTTCCCCTCGTGTCGACCAATATCCCGGCTCTTAAACTACCCGCTACATTAGGCCATCGCTGCCGAAACAGGACACAGTGCGGAATGCTGTATAGACTAGCAAGGCCTGTGGCGGTCTTGCTACCCTCTACCAGTTTCCGTTCAGCGAGACTTCAATCGACTTGAGGATAGGCTCTCACTTGCAATCCGGGCAATGCGGACATTTGGGCAACGCTGGGCAAAGATAAATAGACGTCGCAGACCAGATATCACTACGCCGGTTGGAGTTCGGCCTGGAGCCATCGGAGAGAGATGTTTACTGGGGCCATTGGGCCTTTATACATGCCCAGCACTATTACATCAATAGTGAGATATGAAATTAATGAGACAACATCTTCCTTTCGTTTTGGACCTTTGTATTTTTCTTGTAAACTCGGCTTTTAGGGCTAGATCTGTAAACGTCAAGACTGAAACCTATTGCTCTATCAAGTACCTGAAACCCTTCAGATCTAAGTCCGCACTGAATCAATGGTCCTTAGACTTGGAGGTAAAAACCCACATGTTCCCAACTCCTACAGATCAGTAAATACCATCAAGCATCCACACGAGGCTCCCACCCCGCCTCAGCCATCTCAAACGACTCAAACAAGAAAGCCGGCGCCACCGTACACCCAACAAGCGTCCAATCCCCTAAACTTTTCGCATGCTGCCACTCTCCTCGCTCAACAATAGCCTGGGGCCGTTGACCCTATATAGAACTTAAGCGCCAAGCCGAACACACAAGGCCATACAATAGCCCGTATATATGTACACACGTGCACATGTATAGAGAAAAAAGTATGGAGAAAAAACTCACCTTTGCAAAATCAATCCCTAGAATCGTGTCCCGGATGGGTTTCCCGTCATTCCAGGATAGTGAGAGTTGCATAGGGGCGCCGGCATAATAATGCCATACCTCCGTGCCATCGAGGACACGGTGCCATTGCGAAAGACCGGCTTTTCCTTCGAGGAGGTAGTAAATGCAGGTGCTATGTGAGCGGTCATTTGATGAGTGGCGGTCACGGAAGGTCTCGATGTAGTATCCCTTTTCTGGGTGTGGGGAGAGATTTAATGTTTTGATGATCTCTTGTGCGGAATGGTTTTCCGTCATTTTGGAAGAGTAGTGGAGATGTGAGGTTGAGGTAAAAAGAAGGAATTGTGTCAGCTTGGGACAATCGGAATAGGAATACCTAATATACCCTTGATGAGTCAGGCATCAGCATTCCCCAGGTGCTTTTACGTGGGGTGATACATTGTAGAGCTGAAAGGTAAGCGAAGCAATCATTGAGCTGGAACATGCAGATGCAAAGGCCAAGAGCTGACACTCCCACATTCCACGTCAGACTTATCCTAAGGATGTACTTTACATGCGACGCAAGGAGCAGGCGGTTCCTCACTATGGTATATATCCTCTCTTGATTCCCTAGCCACATTCAAATATCCCACGGCACCTTTCTCAAGACGAAAAATAGCATGATCCACCAACGTATACGTCCCCGGAACCATCATTTTCATATTAACAAGCATAGCAGCCCCAGGGGGAACACAAACCGTCTGAACAAACCGTCCAGGCGAATTAACCACATCTCCATCACGATAAACCTTTTCAAAATTACTCCCAATAACAAAATTACTCCCAATAACATGAAACGAACTCCTCAAGTTTGGCTCAGCATTCCCGAAAAAGATCCTAACTCTTTCATCCACGCATGCTTTGAGTGGTTTATCTCTCGTGAGCGCAGCTTCATGACCATTAAAGACAATGACACTCGGCTCTTCTCTTAGCGCATTCGGATACGAAAACTCCACCGTCGAAGACGGTTTCCCATGGTCTTCGATTTCCGGTGCTTCGTGATAAAACTCGCTCTGCATCACGTAGTACTCACGATCTACTCGATCGAGATCCTGTTCAGGTTGCACGTACATGAGTCCATACATGCCGTTTGCGATATGCACCGGCATCGGTGTTGCAGTACAATGGTATAAATAAAGACCTGGACATTGGAGACGAAATCTTGCAATTATGGTTTGAACTTCTTCTGCTGTTGTCAATGCAGAACCACCTCCCGGACTCAGGAACGCGTGGCAGTCGATCTTGTGTGGATTACCGGATTCGTCGCGGTTTGTTAGGGATGATTCGACGACGTCGCCGACGCGAGCGCGGATGAATGGGCCAGGGACTGTGTTGTTGAAGGTCCATTGTTTGTACTTGTATTCGGAAGTCACTTGTTTCACTTTGGTGGAGGTTGTTAATGGGACTTGAAGGAGCACGGGGTGGGTTCGGGTTATTGGTGGAGGGACGTTTGGTGCGGAGGTGAGTATTGCTTTCTCTTTTGAGAGGTTTGAGATGTTGTTTTGTTTGGGTGTATCGTGAGAGTGTGATGATACTTCATTCGACTTGGGTACTAGGATTGGGTCTGGGCCTCTTGCTTTCTTGGGCGAGTCCAGTCTGAGTGGACTCTGTTGAAGGTGTATCAGACTGAACGCGATCGAGGCAGATAGAGTGAGGAAATATGAAATGGAATTTACATGGCGTTTTTCTCTTTTGGGATGTCCCGAAACAAGTCTGGTCTGTGTGGTCCCTTGCAAAGGGTGCGAGAACGCAAGACGTTGCCTGACTATGGGATTTGAGAAAAGTCTCGACATCGAATTCATCCCTTTTTGTGTAATTGTTGATACTGATGATTATTACTCTTATCATTTCATTTTGATATTTCGTATGACATTAACATGACGCGATATATATACTCTACGTGTATCACATAAACGCGTAAGATGTTGTTGATGCAGGGATATATATCCCGAGGCTGACTTGCTACACTTTATGATTATTTCCCACAAAATAACAAGACAATAAGCAATACATATAGGCATTGTCTTAGAAGATCCAAGCAAATAATCCAACCTCATGAACGGAACTATTCAAAAAGCAAAGACTCATGACAGTGTGATATTATTCATACAAATATTAAAACAAGCCCAACAACTTTTGAGTACCCAAACACCACATAAACACATCAACACATAAGTCATAGCAGACAAGTCACCATAAATCTCCACACAATCCGCGCCCGACCGCGCTGATAACCAGACAAAACCTAGTTCAACTGAATCCCCTCAAGTTTAGGCGACTGCATCTTCTCCTCTTCAAGAGCATCAATCGCCCTCCTAAGCTCATCCTCCCCAACGATAATCGTGCCGGCACGTGCCGTACTCAAGAAACTAATTTCGACAGCATCGGCGACATCCACATCAGGCTGGAGATGATGCGTCGAAGTTGGCAAGGGATGTAATCCATGCGACGGCGCAGAAGTGGAGGTAGGGTATTTTTTATCGATCGAAAGAGCCGCGAGACGCGTACCGAAAGAATCAAACAATTTGGGCACTGATCCGACTATGCTACTAGCACCACTGCCTACGGGTGAATCCGCGCTGAATGCATGGTGGGATGAGGTAGCTGCGTCTGCGAGCCGACCCGCGACGCCGCAGACGATACCGGATGCTTCGAGGGGGAGGTCGCGGAGGTCGAGGGTGATTGGAATAAGATGGTCTTCTTTTGAGCCGAGGAGGAGACCGGAGCCATCTTCGTATGTTGGTGTCCCTGTTGAGGAGGTTGATTGGCGTGCGAAGCGGGGGAGGAGACGCTTCTCTATGAGGAGGGAAGCTGCTGGATCAAGGGATGCGAGGGTTAGGGAGAGGAAGCGGGGTTCGTCGACGAGGAGGACTGTTGTTAGTGCGTCGCGCAGGATGGACATTGATGATTCCTGGGAGTGGTATTCGTGGTGGGCGGCGCATTGAACTAGCCGTAGGGAGTGGTCTACGGACGGGGTGATTTGGTGTTTGCGGAGGTTGTTGAAGGTGCGGGATTGGAGTTCGGCTAGAGTTGAAGGGGGTGGTGTTCCTGGTGGGATGAGGTCGCTGAGTCTTCTTTCGATTGTTGGGCTGAGGGGGTTGGTGATGAAAGCTGAAGCGTTGTCGAATTGGAAACCTCTTTTTTCTAGCGCGGTCATTACGCTTGCTTTGCTTTTTTGGGGGACTATTATATAGTCGGAGAAGTAGGTTGAGATGAAGAAGATGGAGCTTTGGGGGGTTAGCTGGGGATGTTTTGTAAAGGAAGGTATTAGGTTTCACATACATGCCTGCCAGGGCAAGTGGACTGGTTAATTCCAGGACCCGCTTGCCGGCTTCTAGACCTTGGCCGAGGACTTGCATGGCGATGTAGTCATTCTCACTCACGACCAGGCGGGAGCGGAGGGAGACATCCAACTGGTCGAGTTGATCCATGACTGGGACGAAGTATTTGTCGACTAGACGTCTAGGACACATGACGGAGACTTCGACTGGAGTGATGGAGATATTCATGAATGCGGGTGGTTTGTAGCCATAGTCCGAAGCGTGTTCGAAATCATCAAATGCTGCATCGTCATCTGTCTCATCTTCCAGTGGTGGTGTTTCATCAAAAATGAGTCTGAGAACAGACTTTAAGAAGTAGGGGTACAGTTCCAATGGGATGTGCACCAGTACAATCTGTTCCTCCTAGAATTGGGTTAGTAGGTTTTGGATTGTCTATCCCATCTGGGTAGATATCATGGATGACTCACTAGGAAGTGCACTTGTGCATCGATGAGAGCCATTGATTGATCCATGGGGTATGGTCTTGGAGAGAAAGAGAGAGGTTTGAGTAGAAGTTGGCTATTACGCCATTGATGATGCTATTTGTAGTGAAGAAGCACCATCCACGTATGTCGTATGTCGTGATAGTAGATATTTGAGGTGTAAGATATTTGATATTCTGTCGGTACGTGAAGTTAACAAAAGAGACTTCTCAACCCCCTTTTCCTTTTTTTTTCTCTTCACACATTTTTCCCCAAAATTTCTTTCCACTTATCTTCCTCTTTTTAACACAAATTTGACTAAATCTCTTCTTTACTCCACAGCTTATCAGAGGGTTTCTTACCGCACGGACATGTACCTTGTTCCTGGGCTTTTGTGGGGTCCTTAGCTTTCTTTTTTTTACGCCGAGGTTTTCCGAGGGACTTTCTATCATTTCTGCTTATGAGTATACGGGAGACCTAATATTCAGGCCGACATGCAGGTTTTGATTCTGATTTGTCTAATTTATCTGAAGTATTCTCAGATCCTAAGCTCTCCTGCACATCCCCCGCTTTTCTAGTATGCGAGATAACATGCACTGACCTCTCTCTATTTCATCTGTGTTTTTTCCTTTGCCGCTGTAGCAGAGGCATCGAAAGAGATTTTAGTGCAACGTCACACGATTGCATCCTTATCGGGTGGATGGAAAATTCATACCGTGGCGATTCATGGCTTTGTCTTTGGCTTTGACTTTATTCATTCTATTGTATGAGTTTATATGACCAGGAAATGTGATTGGATGTAGGAGCGTCGATCATATATGCCCAGGTCCGCAATATTCATGAACAAACCCCTTAGTAATCAAAGTAGCCTGATTCCGCAGGCGTTGACAAGTGTCAAAAATGAAGCTTTTCATCTCTATACAAATGGTAGTGTCTCCATGTTCTTGAGCGATTTGCAAGTGCCAAAATTGAGACTTTTGATCTCCATACAAATGGAGATATCTCCATATTTCTGGACGGTTTGTAAGTGTCAAAAATGAAGCTTTTCATCTCCATATTCTAGGTGGTTTACAAGTCGAAAAATATGGAGATATCTCGGTTTGTATGGAGATGAAAGGCTTCATTTTCATTCCGGAACTACCTCAGGTGGCAGCTGGTGCACTATTAAGGGATCCGTAGTAATTCACGTATTTTTATTTTTCTGCCAGGCCGAAATAAGGCATCCAGGCATAAAATTCAGGCATTGATCATTGAGCGCTATAGTTACGTCGTACTCACTATGTCTTGGTAGGCGTATGCACCTACCTATTCTAAGTATTCTAGGGAAGGATGGCTAGTTTGGGAAGTGGGGAGGAGGGAGTTGATGCCTGAGAGCTCTCTCGAAGCACTGGTCCCAATGCGGCAACAGGGGTGTGTTTGTAACAATCATCATAATTAATCAATAATCAACAATTAACAATTCGCATTCGGTCACCTTACGCCTACGCAGCGGTATAGGGGTCAGGGTTCAAAACCCCTTTTTAGGAAGGGGGGCATGATGCCCGGATGCCTTGCTTTAGAACGGCAGAAAAATGAAGATAACTACCTGAAATACTATTACATATGGCTTAATAATCAAAGTACACCCAAGGTTATTCTACCCGCGTTTTAAACTGTCAAAAATGAAGCTTTTCCCCTCCATATTATGGGTGGTTTGTAAGTCCCAAAAAATGGAGATACTACCATTTGTATGGCGATGAAAAGCTTCGTTTTTGACACTTGCAAAACGTCCAAAAAATGGGGATATCTCCATTTGTATGGAGATCAAAAGCTTCTTTTTTGGACTTGAAGTATTAATCAATTTACCATACATCGTATAGAGCGGTATAGTTAATTAGAGGTGCTAATTAAGGCATTCGGGCATAAAAATTCCCCTCAAAAATGGGGTTTGAAACCTGACGGTCACCCTATACCGCTGCGTAATACGCCACAATTTGAAGCGCTATACCATAACCTCAACCTTTCTTGAGCGATCAATACTTCTAAAGCGAGGGGACATTGACTAAGAACGATCCTGCCAATTCCTATTCAAGAGTTCGGCATAATTCTTTGGATCTTGTAACAATATCTTTCGGATAGGAGTGAAATTTTGCTGCTGTACTTTGAGACCAACCATCTTACTCGTATTTACAGACTAGCCCCCGAGTCCGTGGAAATCTCTCTAGCCTCAGACTGGCTGAGATGGGCTAATATACATACCTAGGTATGTATCCGCTTCCTTTCCGGCTTGAGCCGCCGGGATCGCTGATTGACCAACTAGCCCCTGCGCCAGGAGGCAAAGACTAGGATTCTAAGGTCGACGACGTAAGACACGGGAGGAGATAAGGCCGCGTTCCCCTTTGGAGTTTAACCCTATGTAACTCCGTCTGAACCGACACTATTTTCCCCAGTTGTGATGTTGAGGTGCTCCCAAGAGGATGAAGTCAATAGTGGTACGATTGAACTAAAGCATTAAGATCTATTAGCGCGGACACTGAATCCAGTGTTCGTGGTAATTTGCCACTATTCCAGGCCGAGGTTGCAGTTATGTACAGACGATGGGCTTTGTTGATTGGTTTCCAACATGTCTATCCCTGCTGGACAACGGTTCTCTCAGGATACTCAAAGAGTATCAGGCGTTCCCCCCTCTCCCGACAAGAATAATTATAAATGGATGACCCTCTTTGCCATTCATCCACTATTCCATACCATTTACCACACCAATAATGCCGAAACCACCAAACAGGTGGAATTCTACCGAGGATAATCTACTTCGAAGAGAAGTGCTTACCCAATGTATGTCCAGAAAAATTTGACGGCAAAAATGCAGTCTAGTTGACAGAGGGCACGATTTGCTAATCGTTGGTGATCCATTGCCCCAGTAGTGGCAGAGGGAGCGGTGAAAGACTGGCAATGCATTGCGACCAAGCTTCCAGCCCGCACTAACAAAGATTGCAGAAAGCGATGGCATAATGTTGTGTCTGGCGGAGTGAATAAAGGCCACTGGACGCAGGATGAGGACAAACTACTGATAGAAGCGGTCAAAACGTGTGGTAAAAGGTGAGGAGCTCATCAGGCGTCGACAAATGGTGTTTAAGAATATCTTCAAGCTGACTTTTCAATGTTATTGAATTCAGCTGGAGGGTCGTTGCAACCGCCGTTAAGTCTCGAAATGCGGACCGTGTGTTGCCATTTTACTTAGAGATGTGTATACAGTTCTATGGCTAACCGCTAGGTGAGCCAGAATGCGCCAAGCGGTGGACGCAATTTCTGGACCCTGAATTGGACCGCAGTCAGTGGGCAGATAAGGAAGTGAGTCTACATGGCTATGATACACGTCACGGATATACTTCTGGACCAACATTGACTCCGTGTTTCTGTATTCAGAACAAGCTTCTCCAGGAGGCGCACGAGAAATACGGCAGACGATGGAAAGAGATTCAGGACAAGTACTTCCCCACGCGGTCAAGAAATGCAATAAAAAACCAGTACATATTGTCTTACTGAAAAACCAAGGGAAAGCCATGATTGCTGATATTCCGAACAGATACACCATCCTTATTCGAAAACGGAAACAAGCGCAAAGTAATGGCATTGAAGACAATGAAGAAACTTCGAGTCAGTCAGACAGTGAAGAGAATGGCCCGGTGGAAGCACAGGAGACAACTGCCATGGATTTGTCATACGGACAATCAGATGATGATCTGAGTGACGGTGAGGCCATGATCGACGGGGGTGATTCTGCAGGGGAACAAGAGCCCCCTTCCAATGAAATCGATGATTGGGATTCCCACTTCTGCAGCACCTATAGTCACTTATTCAGTGATTCAACTCCCGCAGATCATATGGCACTGGACCCTGCAATCAATGCAAACCGGGTGCTCTCGCAGTGCTTTCCAGCCGGAGAAGTGCATTGCTGGGATATACCAGGGCCACAGGTAGTCCAGACAGGCTCTGAAAATTTCGATAACAACACTCATGATCCCCCTGAGGACTCCGCGCTCTTGGCACCGGGTTTGTTCCCGACTCCGGCCGCTGGCCCGGAGTCTATTGGTCAGAATCCTAACTTGGTTCATTGGCACCCGACGTCAGCCCTTGCCCTTGACGGCGTCAGTTCTTCTCCCAGGAAGATCACCCTTACGGTGAAATCTCCGTGCCCAGACACCATTGAGTCCCTCATGCGCATTGTGTTGGAAACTGGATCCTCGTTTAGCTTTGAGACAGAATGAAGCATCCCGACAATGCCCATCCCTCGCAGTAAGCCTACCTCAAACGCCCAGAACTGAACCACGGGGGTAGCCAGTATGGGGGCGAGGTCCACATGAGTCTTTGATGGACTCGATACAGAGCCATGATAGAAGGGATACCGTGCGTGCATTTGAGACGTAGTATCATAGAATCGTGTACGGGGGTCAATTGTGAATTCACTAGTCAATCAGGTATTGTATCGTGAAGGCATAGGAACATTTATTGAAAATAGATCAAACATATCCTTAATTTGCAAGCTCTCATATTAAAGAAAAATGTGCACCATTTACCATCATGAATTCCTAGCTCTGGGTAGTTCACACATCACCACAGACACCTGACTCCGACAGTCATAGATCTTACTCAAATAGAGTCCCGCCAGATTAATGATTCATTCAAACTGGGCCGGAGTCCTCTCGATGCCGTTGATGATGCTCATCATGGTGATATCCCTCTGATGACTGTACCGTGTGAAATATCCGTAGTTCGCCGGCAATGGTTCCGGGGCTGGAGATATCCCTCCAAACCCAAGTGTGGTATTCATGACCTGATCACAAATGAGAAGTCGCGAATTGAACCCCATACTCCTGCGTATACCACTTAGAATCTGGATGCAGTATTCATCGGACCAGTCATGTCTAGTAAGTACAAATCTTAGATGGGGAAGTGAGAAGGATGCTGTTTGAGATATATCCCCTTACAAGATATAAGAGAGCCAATATACATCAGCTCCCTTGACTGGGTTCTCGTCAAAGAAATTATGAGGCATGAAGGTAACCCGTGAGAAATTTATCTCCGATACACTAGTCGCCCATCAACATACCTGCGCTTACTGTTCCTAAGCAGAGGTATTTGCAGAACGCTGTAACCAAACAGTAGGAATGATAATTTAGTTTTTCGGTGACTATGCTCACGGTGTCCGGGAAACAACACTTCCTGATATATGATATCGACCTACGCCAACCTGGGAATCTCCTTGAGAAAGCCTTTCCTCAAGCAGCCATCGTTGTGACTGATTACTACGCCAGAGGTACCCAGGATCACAGGCATTACACCTCAATGTCGGCGATGATGTTTACCCCAGTCTTTTCAAGAAGATATCACATCCTCTTAGAGGTTTTAAGATGAATTTTCACGTTGATTCTGTCTAATCTAATTCGTCGGTTTGAATAATATCCGATATACATCCATCCTTCGCTCCAATACTATGCAACAAACCCTGTGTAGTATAGGTCTTGGCCCCAGTTGCCATAGGGCTGGGCTTGTAACGGAATTTCATGTATTATTCAGCATAATTTTGGTTAGTAATCTGCTAGCGGCCCCGGGGCCTTATCCATGGATGTATTACATCTCGGGCGACTTTCCTCTTATTCTTATCTACTAATGAACTTCTATTGAACCTTCTTCTTTTCATCGTATTGTCAGGTTACGTTACCTCGTTTAGGATGTAATCAGTCGCTTTGTTTCGTACCGGAGTTTAGGACTCGCACTATAAGCTAGCGACCCCTCATTTACGCAGGTCCGGCCAGCACTGGGCTTATATGGATGTCCTCCTCCCCTCCGACCAGCAGCACACACCACTCCTGATCTCAATACCATCCTTTGAGAACAAACCATCTATCCATCCATCATGGCTACTACCTCCCGGATCTGGCTTATCACTGGCACCTCGTCCGGATTTGGCCTAGAGTTGGCTAAAGTGGCCGCTAAGCGCGGGGATCGCGTGTTAGCCGCCACACGGAGTCCGCATAAATTAGCCGAGCTCGAGTCAACCAACCCTAACATCAAGGCTGTCTACCTAGATCACAACGAGCCCCCAGCCCAGATCCAGGCAGCGGTCAAGACTATCCTAGCTGTCTATGGCACGGTCGACATTGTTGTCAACAATGCCGCCTACGTGCAGACAGGCATGCTTGAAGAGACCACCCCAGAAGAGATTCAGCGTCAGTTCCAGGCTAATACCTTTGGCCCTCTGAATCTTTACCGCGCCCTACTGCCACACCTACGCGCTAAGGGGTCGGGCACTTTGGTTACTATCGGCTCTATGGCCGCCTGGTACCCTATGGCTGGCTGCAATCTCTACAACGCCTCCAAGGCCGCTCTGCGCTGGCTCGGACTTGGGTTGGCGGGTGAAATCTCTCAGTTCGGTATCCGTCACTGTTTAGTCGAGCCGGGCTTCTTCCGCACCGAGTTGCTGAATCCGTCAGCCAATCTTACCCTGACCGCGAAGTCCTCGCGTCTATCGGCCTACCAGGAGGTAAACGACACCACCGACTCCAACTTCGCCGCCTTTAACGGCGCACAGCTGGGTAACCCCGTGAAGGGCGCGCAAGTTATCTACGACGTCACCACCTCTACGGGAGTCGCCGAGGGGAAACCCCTGCCTGCTTTCTTGCCCTTGGGGAGTGATGCCAGCGAGGAAATTAGCAAGGCCGCATCTGAGACCTTGGCCGCGATTGAGGAATGGCGGGCGATTAGTTCCTTGACGGACTTTCCCAAAGGTTCGTAATGACGTTCCTAGTGTCACAGGCTTTTCGGGGAAAGGTGCTTGCCTGTCAACGCTCTTTGCCGCCCGAGACAACGCGCTTGACCGTCGCTGCTGTCCGAGATAGCGCACAAGTTTGTCTGCTGTCCATTGGCCACTTCACCGGCATGCCATATATACCTACTTCCTCTGTAGTCCTTTCGTAGTCCTTTGAGGAATCCATTCTATTAAAAGGCATATACTGCGCTGTATCCTGTTGGAGCAATGGGGTTGTAACTTACCACCAGTATTCGCGTGGCATCGCTGGAGACCTCGTTCCTTTTGTTTTTTTGTATCAAATGCTGGGATCATACGACGAAATCCTCAGGAGAACGATTACCACCTTTTCTATCTCAGACCAATGATTCAACGCGTGTTTTGATCCTATAATACTGTTTTGGTATGTAAAACGGACGTACGCATACACACAGATATTTCCTGTCAGTCCCTTACATTGGCCTAGAGCCCTAGAGTGGTGGAATTTATTTGAAGTAGATACAACATTGAAGCTGCCCTTGACCGCTGACCGCGGCACTGGTTTCAAGCTAAAATTCAAGACTTCATAGTTTCACTACGACAATTGAATGCTATATGTATAGGCAGATTCAATCAAGAGGCCGGGTCTATCTATCCTAAAACTAGCTAATTAGTATGTAATTATTGTACAACAAGCTCAGTGAACCTGAAATTTTGTCCCATCCAGGTAATCCGTAGAAATCCTCTAGGGCTACCCGTGGATGCCTTCCACCTCAACCATCTGCGCGACATCCATTCATACTTCCCTCTCCTTCCCTCTTCTCGTTTTACTTACTTGCATATTTACTCGACGAACGCCATTCCTTACCGTACTGGTTGAATTTTAGAGAGTTAGCCCCAACAAAAAAAAAGGATAAAGAAATCCAATGGTTTGTTTACTATACAGAAGGAGAAGTGAACTAGTAAAACGTACCCGGTATAGGATAAAGAGGGGCGGGATCATGGCGAGACTAATGAAGCCCAGCACACTACATGCCCATCCGATGCCGAGCGACTGCAGCATGCGTCGGGCGGCCATCGGTAACGCTCCGCCAAATGCGCTGCGGAAGAAAGCGTTGCCGGCAAAGACGCCGGCGAGATGGATCGGGTATGATTGACCCAGATAGTTGAGCACGGTCTGGAACGTGAGATGGAATCTCGGGGCAAAGAAGGCGGTACCGATAATAGGAAGGATCCAGGGGATACTACTTGAGGGGTTAGTATCAACTCGGGCTGGGCTAGGCTATCAGAGCGAATATCCAAAAGAAATCCCACATACTCTTTACGGGAGGTCCAGCCGAATGTGAAGAGGCAAATCGGGATGCAAATGGCTCCCACCGCACCTGGCAAGATTTGCTCTTCGGGTTCGACGACTTCGTTGTTTGCCTCCTTTCGGGCCACATGGGGCTGGAAATAGAAATGGATCCAGATCATGTAAGAGCTGACGGAGATGACAGCGCCGACAAAAATGCCAAAGAAAGCCATTAGAGAGTTGGTCAGTTCAGTGAGCCAAAGAATCGGAAGGCGAGGCAAACTTGGAAAGAAGAACCTACAGCTTTGTTCTATTCCCGTGAAACCGTAGATTCCCTGGAAGACTATACCAGGCAAGATGAGATCAGTGGTCGTCTTTTCATCAGTGAGTCAACCCCACACACCGACTCATTCACTTACCGTAAGGGAAGAACTCATACCAGAGATACAAAATCCCATAGATGAACATTGTGTGAATATTTATGAACAGAATCACAGGGTCAATAAAGGAGAGTCGGACATCAACGGCAATCTGCTCGAACATGGCCCCGAACAGGTTATTTTTCATGGGTTCCATCTCACTCGGGCTGCGGTACCTCTTATCCCCGGTTACCTGGCGCAGATGAGCGGCACGACGATAGAGGATGTTAGCGGCCAGCGTTTCTGGGAGGAGGAAGAACATAAAGACCGTCGACATGGCGGCGATTCCAGCGATCAGCCAGAGTGCTGCAGACCACGAACCCCAGCGGTCGCTGATGGGTCTAATTAGCGATCCGGGCGAGAAGAAATAAAAGGTAGAAAAAGGCACAGAGACTTCCACCATGGCGGTTCCCAGTAGCTAGAGAGAAATGGTAGTAAGGTCAGAACCGTCCGGCCATATTAGACGTAGGCAAGGAGCAGACAACGTACTGGGCCGAAAGACGGGCCACACACCCCGCTCAGGACATACGTTGCCAACGCGTAGGGCACTTCACGTGGTCCAAACACCTCAGCGATGGTGGTCCCTCCGATACAGGTGGGAGAGGCTCCGACTAGGCCACTCAGAACACGCAGAATGATAATTGTCTGTATGTTCTTCGCCAACGCAGCTCCGATGCTCAATAGGCAGAAGGCCAGTGAGCCAAACATGTAGACCCGGGGTGCGACCGATGGCCGGGAGATTCGAAATGGGCGATAACTGGACATGGAGAACTAGCTACTAACAATGCCACACTAGGGTCAATAGGTCAATGGGGCCAGCGTACAATCAGCGGGCCTACGCCATACGCAATGACAAACAATGAGAGGCCAAGCATGGCTACCTCATAAGAGGCACCTAAGGATTCCTGGATCGAGTTAATGCTGGCTGAGTAGATTCCCGGCGCCGTGTAGAAACTGAGGTTGACTATCAACACATTGCACAGCACCAGCACCTTGACCCACGATGGCCAGTTCCGGGGATTGTCCTCGTCTGTAGGACCGGTCCAGTTCACCAGATAGACTGCTTCTTCCGGCACAAGCTCATCCTTGGACGGGTGAATGTCGGCATCTACGGCCGCGCGATGATGATTGAGGCCAGTTGGCTCGCTGGTGAGCAGCCTCAGGGTCCGACCAAAGGCCGTATCGCGAAGGAGAATGGCCATGGAACGTAACAACTCTAGGGTGCGCGTCGGTTATTCTAGCGAAAGGGAAGGGAGATATGTAGATGTTTGTGTCCAATTTTACATTCAATTTTTAATTTTCAGATATATCTAAGGGATAGCAGGAAGACCCAGTTTAATTTCTTTGTTGCTATTCAGGGTTTAGCGGACCGGAGTACGACTGGGGCCGGGGTACAGAGCACATATGGAGCACAAAGGAGAGACCGAATTGGATGACATTAATGTTCATCGGATTTAGTGCACGGAGATTAAGACTCAAGTCCGAAATGAATTTACATCTAGCCAATCAACTGGCTACATCGTCATGGTCCGTTGTCACGACAACATCTTGCCACTGATCCAGTCCATCCTGGTTGCGAGCCAATGCTGCACGTATCGCCGCAAAGGCATCCCGGCCTAGTGCTAACCGTGGAGGCAGCCTACGGCCCTCACAACGTCCCGTCTTGGTCAAAGCTTCGACAATCACTCGGGCGCCCTTAGCCGGATCCCCTGGCTGGTGGTGGTCGTACGCCGCCAGACCCGCGCGCGTAGACTCGGTGGCTATCTTCAGCTCGGCCAATCGGTTCTGCGCCACGACTTTGTGCCCACCACTCAGGAAGTTGGTACGGAAATATCCCGGCTCAATGCAGGTGGTCTCTATGCCGAACGGGGCCAGCTCCCCGCACAGAGCTTCGGTGTAGATCGCGACGGCCGCCTTGGTGGCACAGTACAGTCCAGCAGCCGGAGTCCCAGACCATCCGCCGATGGAGCCTAGATTAGCAACGACCCCCGACCTCTGCTTGCGCATAGTGGGGAGGACAGCGCGAAGCACTCTCATTTGGCCAAACACATTGGTTGCAAACACAGCTTCGGCCTCAGATCCCCTGTACCAAGGATGGAGAACAGTCAGTGGTATTGAACGGAAGGCGAACCCAGAGAAGGGTCTCCGGGACGATTGACTATGATACTCACGAGCATTCCTCAACGGCACCCTCGAGGATATATCCGGCATTATTCACCAGGACGTCGGTGCGCCCAACAATCCCTAGGATGGACGCCACCTGCGCCTGTACGGTTTCATCGCTGCCATTGACATCCAGCTGGCGGAGCACAATTTGGCCAGGTCTCTGCTGCTCGAGGTCCTTCAGCTTGTTTTCATCTCTGGATGTGGCTACCACTGTATCTCCGATGTCCGTTGCGGCGAGGGCAATTTCGCGACCGAAGCCGGATGAGGAACCGGTAATGAGCCAGACGCGCGGCATGTCTGCGAGATATGGCTCAAAAAGAGAATGATTCTCGGGCGATTGGAAATAGTGATGAGAGAGTGTCTATTTGAAAACCCTGAACGCTTTATCGCAGTTGAAATGTGGGAAGAACAGCCTGGAATGGTGTGTATTGTGAAGATCTTTGCATTTTAATAATTATTTTCGCGCTGGGCAAGATCTTCAATCAGTTTCCACCAGAGGGGGTTCCTCCAACGATGGCTGGGGGTTTGTACGCGGGTCCTACGGAGACCTTGGGTTTTCAATTGGCTATGACATTTTGAGAGGTTAACAACGCCGTCAAATAACTCTTAGGCCGATTATGGTCTTTTCATTTCACGTTTTCATACTCATATTGGGATATAGAATCCAGTATGCGTCTATCGGCTATCTTGTTGGCTACCCAGACGCTCCAGCGGCCTGTCATGGCTTGGGTGGGCCTGCAGAGTGTTCTTTCTCGACCGGCCTGCTACGACTCTGACGTGACGGTGCACGTCTCTAAGACCACCGATCAATCGTTCGTCAACCAAGTCTATGACCTAGATATCCTCTATGCGCTTGCCGGCAAGCAGATTTTGGTGTCCAATTCGTATAACATTTCGTCCCGGCTGTGCGAACCTCTCCAGACCAACACCCACTCGGACACTCTTCAGCTCATGGTCCATGGGGCGTCGTTCAATAAGAACATGTGGGACTCCCAGTACTAGCCGGAGATCTACAGCTGGGTTCAACGGATGAATAAGGAGGGCTATTATACTCTCGCCGTGGATCTGATCGGTAATCCTCTCCTTCCCTAGACAACGTGATTGACTAAACGGTGTATTGATCTTGGGGTCAGGAAACGGAAACAGTACATTCCCTGACGGTCTCCTGGAGGCCCAGACTCAAGCCTATGTTGAGACAACCCATCAGCTAATCCAGTTGATCCGTAACGGCGCCGTCGGCGGCCGCCGATGGCGCAAGGTCGTCTTTGTAGGTTTTTCCATCGGGGGCAGAAACTACCTGACGCCAACCTAGCATAAACGTCGAAGAATGGGGCCTCGAGATGGTTGTGCAGGATACATTTAGCCGGCTGGGCTAATATGCCTGAATTGGGTTCGATCATGCTGAAGATGGTACTAAGTGCACATGCCACTATATAGACCTCCGTATAGGACCGAAAGTACCGCACTATAGCAGTCCGCGGACGGTTAAGTCCGGCGGTCCTATAAATAGTGTCGAACTCCATATTATTATTTATATGACTAGGCGCGGGGCGGGACCCACAAAACCCTTTAATCCCACGAATCCCCTTTCTTCCCTTTCCCCTTCTCTCTCTATGCTTAGAGATCTTGAATGAATTGCACTCTTTTCAGTAAAGAACTGGCATGTAATAAGACCTAAAATCTGATCTAGACTGGGTTAGGTCTAGGTTTTACTAGGTCGTGCGGAAGACTATATAAGATACAATTTGTAATGGTAATATGAATAGAATCATAGAGAAAATAGGAGATAGACGGATTCCGCCGGAGGATGTAGTTTGAAAGTAGGCTGAGTTGAAACCCTATCATTCGATCAAGCCTAGATACAGGTTGTATACGGAATAGGTGTCGCAGCTGTTAAGCTGCATCGAAGCCGCTAATCTCGATTCCGTAGGAGTTTAAGATCCTTGGCATGCAAGTATTCTTTGGCAGAGATGCCTTGGCGTTTCGAAACAGGTTGTGTATTAAAACCATCCCAGGTTAATTACTACGAATTGATAGAGCGAGAGGAGAGGAGAAAGGATTCTCTACAAACAAACACGAAGCTAACTAACTATCTAGTTAGTTGTTAGTTACCACAACACAAATGAACTGGGATTCTCAACACATGAAACTTGCCTTTCTGACCAACCTTTTTGAAAGGAAACTGTAGCAATTCCTCTAATACAAACAAGGGTGAACTATTACCAAGTAAGATGACTTGTTAAAAAGATATAGTTCAAGAGAATACATGAAAGTTAACGGATAATGATGCATTAATTGTAGGGCATACAGAACAGGTATAAGAGCAAAGAAGTATAATTGTATATGTCATCAATTTGAGGGTCACCTACTAAGGATTTCACGACCCTGAAGGTCAGTCCGGGTCATGGTGAGGTCTAATCTGGGATGGTGGCCCAATTCATACACTGAATATTTCAGCTCAGGACTAGCTCCCATTGTATCAATTTTCCTTTCTGTTAATCTATAGTACACCTGCCCTTTTTTTATGGGACTGTTAGAAACACACCCCAGTTTACTCAAAATACACACCCCCTATTTACCGCTTTGGGACTAGTGCTTCGAGACCTCTCACCCCTGCCAGGTTTACAAGGCCAAAACTACACCCTGTTCAGCAAAACGCGCTGAAATCAATGATGTCCACCTCATTACTTACTAAATAGGAATTAGGAGGGTTCTACCAGCATGGTATCAAGTTGACGTGCGTACCCTCTCATCCGACACGTCGCAGACCCCATTACAGACCCCATTGTTGCAGACCCCAAAGAGGAAGCAGACGCGTCAAGTTTATGTTCACTCTGTTTATCCTGAATATCCAAGCCTTTTCATCTCGAGTATGCCCCCCTTGCGTTCAGGAACCGGTAGCTGGGTAAATTATTTACATTCCGCCCTTCGGAGCCCACTTAGGGCATTCTTCTAAAGCAACCCAAATCCTGAAATCATGCTCGACCGTGTTATCCCAGCCCCGAAAGTTCATGAATGAAGGCACGGCCAATACCACTCTCGCGAGCCTGGAAATGAGATCCGACTCGAGCAACATACCCAGGCCCCTGCAGATCGACACCATCGTTGTTTCTCTATCGCCATGATTAAAAAGAGGCCCGGTATCCAGGTTTCTTCCTTTCGACATCCAACACCGCGGCCGACCTGCGCCGATTTCGACAACCGCGTTATTTACATTCGTTTTGCTTTCTAGTTGATCCGGCCTCGAATACACTCTTTTAGAGGATTTTACTATCCTTCTGATTTGCGCTGTCAATCGTTTTCGCTCGTTCAATTCCCGCCACAATGGCAAAATTTAGTCTTTTCGCGCTGGCCACTTGGGTTGGCCTAGCTGCAGCTAAGGATGTCTACCTGAACTGGAACGTCACTTGGGTGAATGCTTCCCCCGATGGGTTTGAGCGCCCGGTCATTGGTATCAATGGCCAATGGCCCTGCCCGCAGATTGACGTGGACCTGGGCGACCAACTGATCGTCGATGTCTACAACGGGCTTGGAAATGAGTCCACGGCTATCCACTGGCACGGTATCCGCCAGGAGGGCAGTGGTGTTATGGATGGCGCCGTTGGAGTCACCCAGTGCCCGCTTCCTCCCGGAGAGCGCATGCAATATCACTTCGACGTAAGTAATTCACTGTGCGAGAGAGATGCATATCATCTAATTGCAGTGTAGATCAACCAAACCGGAACATACTGGTATCACTCGCACGACATGGGCCAGTACCCCGATGGATTCCGTGGTGCTCTGATTGTCCATGACCCCAAGCCTCCTTTCCAATACGACGATGAGTTCACCCTCACCTTGAGCGACTGGTACCACAAGGAGATGCCGGGGCTGCTCAATACCTATCTGTCCACGGACAATTTGAAGAACCGTGGCGCTGAGCCCCTCCCTGACTCGGCATTGATCAACGACTCAACCAACACCAAGATCAAGGTTCTGCCTAACAAGACGTATCTCGTTCACATCATCTGTATTGGAAACTGGCCCGGCCATTTCTGGGTGATCGATGGCCACGAGATGACTGTGGTGGAGGTCGACGGCGTCTATACTGACCCATACCCTGCTGGAGACAAGTTCCTGCGTGTCGCAACCGGCCAGCGTATGAGCGTCTTGATCAAAACTAAGTCCGACACCAGCAAGAACTTTGCTATCTGGGATACTATGGATATCAACATGATGTTTATCTTCGAGAACCGTACCATTCCGGAGAACTACAACCCCAACGCCACCGCCTGGTTGGTATACGACGATGCGAAGCCCCTGCCCGCGCCTCCCGTCTTCAACCACATCGACTTCAACGATGACTTTGTGGACGATGTCAACCTGGTCCCAGCAGACCACGAGCCCTTGCTCGAGCCCGTGAACCACCAGATCATTATGGACACCGGCGTCGCGCTGATCGACGGTGTTCTGCGCATGACTGTCAATAACAAGACCTACCTCGCCCCGAAGGTGCCATCCCTCTACACTGCCAACACAGTCGGAGCCGAATTTTCCTCCAACCCCTTGGTATATGGCGAAGTCAACCCTTTCGTCGTGAAGCACAACGATGTTGTGGAAATCATCATCAACAACCACCACAACAACCTGCACCCATGGCACTTGCACGGCCACCACTTCCAGGTCCTGCAGCGTACCCCAGTTGACGGCGGCTTCTACCAGGGACTGACAAGCAACGTCTCCACAACCCCAATCAGACGCGACACCATCATGGTCCAGAACAACGGCCACGCCGTCCTCCGCTTCCGCGCAGATAACCCAGGTGTCTGGATGCTGCACTGCCATGTCGAGTGGCACGTCGAGAATGGTCTCATGGCCACCATCATCGAGGCACCAGAGACCTTCCCGAACAGCATCCACGCTCCCCCGAAGAGCCACTACGACGCCTGCAAGAGCTATCCTCAACAAACCAGCGGTAATGCCGCCGGCAATAAGGGTCTCGACTTGACCGGACTCGATACGACGGTTGTCCCCGGCAGCCACGGCGCTCTGTATACCAAAAAGCAGGGCAAAGCTCCCACTTCTGCAGCTCCATCTCATGAATCGGCACAGCCAGCGGCGCCAAATCCATATACCAAGCCGTTCCCACCAACTCCCCCAGCGCCCCCTGCACCCTTTTCACAGGCTTCCCGTCCCAAGCTCCCATCCTTCTCTAACGAGAACCCGTCGGTAGCAGCTGCTGCCGAGACCACCAAGGGATTCTGGCCTTTCAGTAATCGCGATATTTTCTCTGAACTTGAGGACTGGGAGTGATACGACTATCTGTGATATTATAATGCGCTTTTATAGACGTTGCGAAATGCTTGTATATTAGTTTTCTTTTCTCATGTCTAATTGACATAAAAGTCATTAGCACTAGTTAATTCAACAGCAGCTTCTTTCAATACTTTCTCGTGTATATGACGTGTACAACATTGATATCTCTTCACTTACCATGGATGTCATATATGTCTACATGGTAGAAAACAATAATTGCAAGCCTTGGTTCACCCCGTACCTGGGAATAACAGCTCCGTTTCCTAATCGAGTAGGAGTCTAATTATCACATCCTGACGACCTCACCCACACACTCTCTCTTTATCTCTCTTTTCACATAAATCTCCAATACTATCTATACACCCACCCATCTCAATCCAAACCACCAAAATGTCAAATCTATTCTGCTGCACCACCATCCAACTAACCAACCTCCCAAACCCGGACCACGATAAAACCTTCACCGAATTCACAAAATGGGCCTTAACAACAATCGGCAATCTAACAGGATCCACCGATCCCTCCGAAGCAAGCGTCTGCATCCAGCTCGTGCGACAAGTCACCAGCGGTCCGATAGAGTCTGTTCGGTATTTCGTTGGAAGTGATAAAGACAATTTTGAAGAAGTTTCTGAAGATGGGATTCTGGATGCGAATTTTTTGAAGATGAATGAGTGAGTTACTGATATTATCCAAACCTGGATATTTATCGTCCTATTTATCATATATCCTCTTTATCATATAGGCCTCACGGCTTTACCGCATATTAATAGTTTCAATAGATGCAAAAGTTTTCGATGCACCCAACACAACCGAATCTTCGATCTAAACCTCTTTGAACCAAGTACGGGGAGTGCACGTCGTTGGAGATCAAGTATCGCGAAACCGCTTAGGCAGATTGAGAACGCACTGAAGGATAAAATGTCTGGATCTGGGTCGCGGTCAGTTTCAGGATCGAGATCTAGTATGCGATCTATGGGATCTGGGGAACAGAGAACTAGCGCAAGCTATGGGTATGGATCTGGGATGGGATATGGATCTGGATGGGGATCACATTTGGGAGCTGGGTGTGGACCGAATTGGGGGACTGGGGGTTCGATGGTTTTTGTGCCGGCTTCAACTACGAGTACGGTTGTGGCTGGGTGTAATGATTGTGGCAGTGGATTAAACCGGAACCATGACCATGACCACAACCAGGACCAGGACCAGGACCAGGAGTCAGATCGAAACCCACATCAAGATCATGAGATATTCCTACCTGCTGGTGAGACTGAATATGCCGACAAAGACAACAACGAAGACCAGCCTGTTCCATCTTCGCCTACGCTCGGTACTGAGGTAACTCAATATGACAACGCAGGGTCATATTCGCCTCGTTATGAGACCCATATCACTTCCCGTGATGATGAGGGTGCGGGCCAGAGCTACCTGAATACCGAGGACTATAGGTGTTATTATTCTGGGGTGTCTTCTGATGATTATGGCAGCTATGACTGCGGAGGAGGCAATGACACGTCTTATGATTTTGGAAATTATGGAGATTGTGGTGGTTGGAACGATTAATAGCTAGTTCTTCGATTGTTTGCTAAATTGCTTTTCTTTAGCTCATATAACACGATCTCTGTTGGCTTCTGTTGGCTTGGGTTAGCTTGGGGCTTGAGAAGAAAAGACCTGGATGAATTCTCAGATTAGCACACTAAATTCAAGTGATTGTCATACCTGCCTACCTACTCCGGCTGTCGAAAAAAAGCCATGTCTGGACAATCTTTCGACATAAACCCCAAGACTCGTCATTGGCTAGAAGACTTGCAGGCCTTCATGAGAGTAATGGGCAGAATCCTATTCCCTTTCTTGAAGACCATATCAAAGGCGTGACGCATAATGCCCCTCGAAGTGGTAGAGGGACTCTCACTACCTCTAGGAATTCCGCATGAAGGACGAGGGACTATCCTGTCAATACATCTATGCTCTTCGAATCCTATTATTGCAATGAAATAGCCAAAAGAAAACGGATGTTGTGGATGATTATGGAAAAGTTTTAACAATGTCCCATCTATGTAGCTACATGTGTTAAGCCTTGCGTAACAGAATTTTCACTAGACATCAACAAGACTAGTACGGCTCAGTTGAAGTTAGTCGAAAGATGAGCATTAATACACGGTTGTTCACTTACCTGATAAGTGGGTGGCAGAGAATATTTGTACCTGGCGTCCATTTGCAGAGGAAACGAAAGGGCATGTGCTATATAGAGGGCGGACTAGAGAGAAAAGATGAATAGGCTTGATTCCAGCTTATATTAATATACAAAAAAATTTACAGACAGAAGAATAGAAAAAAAACAAATTGGATTCTCCTTTCCACCTAATCCTTGATGACATACGAACGTCAGTTCGTGCAGACGAAACCATCTTGGAGATTTTAAATGAGAGTAATGATGAGACATGAAAAAAACTTGATTGGCGGATGCCGACAGGCATTTGTCGGTGAGAGTGACTTGCTCACTGGACGAAACTGTTTGAACCAGGAAATTTGTGTTTGTAGGTTCCATCGAGTCTTGATGTTGACGAGAGAGAGGAAGAGCCGTACGAAAGCTGTGGGAGTATTTATGATAGCTGACGACATGATGCTCATAGTTGTCATAGTAGATGAAAAGATCGATAGCTGCAGGGATTGGTCAAGAGAGGGAGATCCGTGGCTGGTGAGCGTAGTAGATAGCCAAGAGAGAAAGACTCGTGATGGATGGTGAACATAGTTGTCACATTAGATGGAAAGTCTCATGGTGTATGGTGGCCGTAGTGGATGGTCAAGATAGAGAGACCATGGTGGTGGGTGGCCGCAGTAGATGATCAAGATGGAAAGACCCATGATTGATGGTGGGCTTGGTGGGTGTTCAATATTGGAAGACTCATAGTTGGTGGTGGCCAGTCAAGATAGAAAGTCTCATAGAAGGTCGTGGTCACAGTTGTCACAGTCGATCGAAAGTCTCATTGTAATGGTCAAGATGGAGAGACCATGGTGGAGGGTGGCCGTAGTAGACGATCAGGATTGGATGTCCAATATTGGAAGACTCATGGTTGGTAGTGGTCACAGTCGTCACAGTCGATCGAAAGTCTCATTGTAGATGATCAAGATGGAAAGGTGTCAAAATGGATGATTGCCATTGGTAGAAGGTTGTTGTCATAGGTAGTGGTAAAAATGGGTATTTGATTTGGATGATTCTTATGGTAGACGGTGGTTGTCAAAAAGTATGTCGAAAATGATTTCTTTTTGGTGAATGAATTTTGAAATGAGGCCAGACGAAAGGCCACAATGGGTGTTGATGTTGAAAGGTTGTCATGGATACTTGTGATGGATGATTTTGGTTATTCTTTGGTGGATGAGACGCCAGATGAAAGGCCAAGATGATTGTCATGGATAATTGGTTGGTGAATGAGAGGCCACGAAGAGAGGCCAGAATGGTTGTTGTGGTCGATGGTCGGTGGTGGATGGTTGATGGTGGGCACGGTGGATGACCATCCTAGTCAAATATTAGGATAAAGTGGTCTCAATAGACGGTCGAGGTCTTTGTTGACGACAGACACGAAGGACGGTCATGATGGACGAAAATTATTGTGGGTGTTCAGTGCCATGGTTGATGGCAATCATGAAGGAAGATGATCATGATAGAGGATGTCCAAAGTCAAGGTGGATGGTAGGAATTTGTGGATGCTCAAATGGAAAGGCCCAAATGGATAGTTGTCACCGTGGATGATCGTCACCATGGATTGTCCCACCATCAAGATTGTTTCTAGAAACAAGTTAGAGTGTCCACAAGTCAGGTGGGATAGAGGGATGTTATTGTAGATTATTCAATGTCCACCAAGGCTGTCTCTAGAAGCCCGCCGGCATGTTCAACGTCAGATCGAGGATAGCCGGGGTGTTGTGGTGGATAGTGGTCAAGACGGAAGGTTGATTGAAGTGGATAGTTGAATTGGTTGATTGAGCAGTCTACCAATTGTCCTGAAGCCGAAGCCCGCCACGGCCAGACTGGTTGTCGGTGTTCGTAGTGGATGGGTGTTCGAAGCTCGATTGAGTAGTCTGCCGATTGTCCTGAAGCCGAAGCCCGCCACGGCCAGACTGGTATTTGATGCTCGAAGTGGGTGTTCGAAGTGGACGGTTGATTGATTAGTGGGTGGTTGACCAGCCTGCCGATTGTCCTGAAGCCGAAGCCCGCCACGGCTAGACTGATGTTCGAAGCGGATGGGTGTTCGAAGGGCCATGATGGATGGTGGTCACGGTGAATGGTGGTTGTTGAGACGGAAGGTTGGTCAAGACAAAAAGTTGGCCAAGACGAAAGGTTGGTCAAGACAGGAGGTTGGTCAAGTCAGAAGGTGGTCAACTTGTAAAGGCCAAGAATGGATATGAGTAAATGATCGTCACCGTGGTCGATACCACCATCGCATCAGGCTTCGAAGGTTGTTCTAGGAAACAGTCAACATGTGTCAGACTGGGGGGGAAGGGATGTATGTTATTGTGGTTGGTGGTCACCATAAATGGTGACCAAAATGAAAGACCAAGATGGTTGTCATGATGGCGGGTATGGTGGAAGCACAGTGGACTGTCATGATTGATGGTCATGGTGGGTGGACAAGGTCACAGTGGACTGTCATGACAAGTGACAGGTGATCAAGGTGGATAACCATAATGGGTATCCATGGTGGAGGGCCAAGGTCACAATGGAGAATGGTCAAGGTCATGTTGGATGTTTAAGATGAAAAGGCCCAGAGTGCAGAGTCGTCACCGTGGATGGTCCCACCATCAATGTCTAAAAGGAAGTCAGTGTCTAATATTCAGGAGGGACAAGGGGACATATTATTCTAAATAATTTATATTGGACAGGGAAGGAACTAAAAATATGTGAGCAAGTTGTATTTGTCTTGTGAGGATGGGGAGGATATTATGGTAGATGGTTTATGGTGAAGACCATGATGAAAGCTGAGAAGGGAGTGGAAGAAGGAAGAAAAAAGCAGAGAAAGAAAGTGGGAGGAGGGAGGTATTTATACCCCAGTGGTTGAAGGCAAAGAAGGAACTGGGGTAGGTGACGATGTTCCCAGATAGGAAGGAAGGGTATAGGGGTCCTTTCAAGGTGTCCACGGGTGCTCTTTCCTATTTCGTTACATGAGGACCTCATACACATCTTGTATTGCTTTTAACTCACGATATATGGGAAAATTGATATACAGAAGGTTAATCTGTACCTTGGGTGCTTTCCGCAAACTAAACTTATATCTTGAGACTAAAAGAATACAGCAGTGAACACATTATGATTGGCTAGATCAACAGTACCTACCAATACCTGCGTTTCTTTAACTTAGATCCACTCTCGTCTCCCTCAAAATATGGCTCCACAGGCATTTTGTTGCAATAAGATCAGATCTCCAAGTTTTGAAGACGAAGGCTACCGACTCGGACTCTTCAAGTACTGGGCAAAAGCAAAAGACAAGAGGCCGCCAACCAAAGATGACAACCTAGGGCTTGATGTCTCGTTTTGTGTCCAATTGTTTCAAAGAGCCAACCTGAACTCAACCCGGCTCTTTGTACCAACTGCCTGGAGAGAGTTCGCTGAGATTGATGGGAAATTGCTAGCGGCACCATGGGTGTCCCATGGGTATGTCCCCAGAGAATGTGTTGCAGGTTCAAGGCTGACTATACTCAAAGACCGGCACGTTATCAATGCAGGGTTCATTGCACGACCTTTCAGGTTACAGTTTAAGAACGAAGCGTCGAATCGCCAATCCTGTCTCCAACGTCTGCGAATCCCAATATCCAAGTTCCCGATCAAGGTGACCATGGAGACGCTTCCTCGTCGACAATACTTAACGAACTGACCAACATCCCGGGAGAACTAGACGCTTCAACAAATCCATTAGCAGAGAATGATCTCACAGAATGCCCAGTTGGTACGGATGCCAAGTATAAAGTGGAGAATGTTGTTTCGTTGGTGAATATGCCTGCGAGTCAATATGTGCTTGACTTAATCGACAGGACGAGAGATACGATGCGACTGAACGAGGTCTCCCTTCCCACTGAAGCAGATATGCTCAAAATACACATGTTCCATGATCTACGCGAGTTAGCAGAGTCTGTCGATCAAAATATCTTCATCTGGATGCTGTTCTCCACAGCAAATCCAATTGTCAAGCTCTTGATGAGCTGCAGCCCTTCCAATGCGTCTACCAAAGATGACAGAGACAATATACTCGAAGCCACTGCATCCGCTGTTAATGCGATGTATTGCTTTACCATTGGTCAGCGTGAGGGCTAATGTAGCGAAGCTCCAAACTTTTTCGACGTTTTTTGATGAGATTTGTCGACTCCATCCGGATGATGAAAATCTGACTTCACTGGTGAATCGTGCCTTCGAGAAAGTGCGGAAGGTGGTTCTGGCCGAAGAAGAAGCGCAGAATAAGGCGCGACCGGCTGAGGAGAAGGTGTATCCCCCAGTCAACGAAGATGATAGCTATGATCATTGTGACTTGTCTATTTAGGACTGAGAATTCTGAGTAATAGTGCTGCTGTTGCTAGCATTGAGATCTTGCAATAGCTAAATATAGCCTACGGAATTCTTGCTATGCCATGTCACATATCGAATCTAAAATGCAATAGAAACCAAGTAAAATTAACCCCAAGACTATATCAAACTATATAAATCCTCGCCACAAAAGCGCATTATCCCAAGAAAACCTAGTCAAGACCCTTGAAAACCTCATCAAAGCGCAACTCATTCCAGCGCACATTTGGCTTCAACCCAGCGAACTTCCAGATACCATTGACCTTGCGATAGTAATGTTCATTCGTCGCATGAGAATGACCACGCAGTTTGACAGTCTCCAAGGCCTCGGTCTCGTAGACTTGGTGCGCCGCACGCAGCTGGTGGTGACCGATAACCTCGGTGTCAGAGACCTTCTCCCACCATGTCTGACCAAGCAAATGCTGGGTCTTGATGGTCTTGTCACCTAGGAAGCCCGGGTGGGTGACCATGGCCATGTATTCCTCAGCGGCCATGCTGTCCCATTTTTTCAGACCGATTTTGGTGTAGTCGACCTTCAGGGTTGGGGCGATGATGCTGCGCAGGCGGTCCCAGTCCTGGAACATTGTCAGTACTAATGTTGAATTGAAATTTGATGGGATGAATATGTACCTTTGCATCATAGCTGTCTGCCCAGTCGAAAACGAGTTTCGAGAGGATGAGGTAGTCTGTTCATGTTAGTACAAGCAGATGAATGAGGGTGGATTGAAACAGACCTTGGAAGCTGATGTCCAAGTTGGGCTCAGTGGTGTTGTTCTTTACGGCGGGAGACATGATTATCCAATATTTGGTTTCTGTAGATAGTTTGAGCTCTGATTATAGCTACGAGGCGTGCCTATATCCAAAGTTCACTTCTAACAGACTTCCCTGGAAGTGACATTCCCCAGATCTGGGCCAGCATATTTCCCATGCACGGAAGCACAACAATGTAACCCTTCCAATGTGACAGATGGTGGAGACAAACCCTCATGGCCTTCCGCATGCGGTACAAAGCTCAGCCAAGACACTTTTGAGTCATTGCTCGCAAGCGGCTACTCTGTTTTAGGACCTACTGTTGATTCCGGGGCCCCATGACTGCCATTGTAATGTCTTACTGACAAATTCGGAAACAAAGCCCAGCCTTGCGCCAGGGATGGACGATGCAGCCAAGCCATTTACTTAATTCCAGCCAGGAGCCTGGTCTTACTATTCAAAATACCAGCCTGGATATTAGACTACGATTCCCACCCCCAGCGTGATTCCACACCCCCTTATTTACAATCATTCACTCCTACCTCCACCCACATCAACAATCACCAAAATGGTCAATCCCAACCCCAACTCCCACCTCGAGCTCGCCGGCAAAGTCGCCTTAGTGACCGGCGGTGGTCGAGGCATCGGAGCCGGCATTGCGCTAGAGCTAGCGAAGAAGGGAGCAAACGTCGCAATCAACTACGCCAGCAGCTCCAAGACCGCCGACGGAGTGGTCCAAGAGATCCAAGCACAAGGCGTCCACGGTGCCGCATTCCAAGCCGACTTGACCAACGTCGAGGAAATCGAGAAACTCTTCCGCCAGGTCGTCTCACACTTCGGACAGCTAGACATTGTCGTGTCGAATGCCGGAACGGAGAAGTTTGTCCCATTGTCCGAGACTACGCTGGATGACTTCAATGCTGTCTTCGACCTCAACACTCGGGCACAGTTCTTCGTCGCGAAGAATGCCTACGATCACATCCAGCCCGGTGGACGTGTTGTGCTAATGTCGTCCATTGCAGCGGGCCTAGGTGTGCCCGGCCACTCGCTGTATGCGGGTAGCAAGAGCGCAGTGGAGGGATTTACTCGTTGCTTCGCTGCTGACTTTGGCAAGAAGAGGGCTACTGTTAATGCGATTGCTCCTGCTGGTGTCAAGAGTGATATGTGGCTGAGCAATGCGTGGCGCTATGCGCCTGGCTGTAACCAGAACTCGTCTATTGAGGAGATCGAGCAGGCACTTGCTAATGGTAGTCCCCTTGGGCGCTGTGGTGTGCCTGCGGATATTGGCCGCATTGTCGCATTCTTGGCCAGTCCTGGTGGAGAATGGATCAACGGTAAGTACTGGAATGTTTAATTTACCCCTGTGAATATTGCTAATTCCTTGCAGGTCAAATTTTGCCTTGCAACGGTGGAGCTAATATTTAATTGAACCGTCCTGTTGGATTGGAGATGTTGGATATATATTTTGTTTTATGTTTTGAGGTCATTAGACCCTGGAAGCCATGTATAGGATCAGGGCCGATAACCATTTGAATCATGCGTTGTCCTTGTTTAAATATTAGTTTTTATGCTGTTTCTCATAGAATCAGAATGAATACCACTCTATTGACAATATTCTACCATCTGAGTACAAAGGTTCATTTCGGATCTCCTTCGACTACCTACTTAGTTAGGACTAGATGACGAATCCGACATCAGAAATGCCACGGGAGAGGCCAGAAGCCGAGAAGCCGAAACCCGAGAAGGCAATCAAGTCAAGACATTTAAGATCTGCATCCCTTTCCGCGCCACCTCATCCCCCGCATGCGGAGGTCCCCCATTACCTTGCCAAGATCACAATCGGTAGATCCGTGCCGATCAGGTGTGATCCGGGTGTGTGGCAACAATATCACACTGTTTTCGTCTCGAGGGGCATCATCGGGCCTTGCATGATCTCTTGTAATAGATGCGACCAACTAATGTAGGTGAAGGCAAGTCAATTAAAGAGCGCAGATGTCTCCAATTCGTAGTCCAATAAAAGCCTTTGTTAGACAATATCACCCATCAATCTACTCTATTATATCTCTCTCAACATGGTTCCTTGGATTCTTGGAGACAAGTTCGACACTGTCTACCCTCACCAGGGGTCGATCAAGGTCCTATGGGAGTCAAAGTGGAAATTCTGCGTATGTATCTTCCCAACAATCAAAGATCCAGAACTCTAACATGGATGATCGATCAGGCCACGAAATCCATCTACCCCTTCCACGATGGATCGCTAGAAGACTTCGAGCCCGTTTTCCAAAAGCTAATCGCTGTAAGCATCCCCAAACACATCCCATCCCAACCTCCGACTAACAACAACAGGAAAACATCAACGACGCAAACACAGACGCCTACACCGAGGCCTTCCTCCCAACGGCAACAGCCCTAGAGAACGAAGCCGCCAAAGCCCTCAACAACGGGCAACTCGACCGCGCCGCCGACCTCTACCGCCGCGCAGCAGTCATCCTCCGCATCTCTCGCTTCCCCTACGTAAGCCCCTCAACCCGCCCCGAGACCTCCATCAAGCGCGCCGCCTTCGAGCGCCAGAAACAAGTCTACCTAAAAGCCGCCTCGCTATGGAACCCCATCATCACGGAGGAAGTGATTCCACACACGCACCGCGCCGGCCGCGACGGCCCCGAAATCCCAATGTACATTCGTCTACCCGAGGAAGCGAGCGCCACCAACCGCGTCCCCGTCGTCCTGCTCATGACCGGACTCGACGGCTACAGACCGGATAACAGCCAGCGCACCCACGAGATCATCAATCGTGGCTGGGCGACGGTTGTCGTTGAGATTCCTGGGACAGCGGATTCGCCTGCGGATCCGGCGGACCCTGAGTCGCCTGATAGACTCTGGTCTAGTGTACTTGATTACATGGATCGGCGGCCCGAGTTTGATATGTCGCGGGTCGCGGCTTGGGGACTTAGTGCCGGTGGCTTCTATGCTATTCGAGCGGCTTGTATGCACCGTGAGCGTCTTGTGGGATGTGTTGCTCATGGACCTGGGGCGCACTTTGTTTTCGATCCTGAGTGGTTGTCCAAAGCGAATGATCATGAGTATCCGTTTGTGTAAGTACTGATTGGGGTTTGGTTTTGGGTGCTGTGGTACTAACTATGATGCTAGGCTTACCACCGCTATGGCGGAGAAGTATGGCTATGATAATGAGGAAGAGTTTGTGAAGAACGCTCAGAAGAAGTTCTCGCTTGTGGAGACTGGTGTTCTTGACCAGGATAACTGCCGATTGCTTCTGCTCAACGTATGCATTCCTGTTCTATCTTGTCACGAAAAGAAAGGACAAAGCTGATTGTTTCTAGGGCGTGGATGACGGTGTTGTTCCGATTGAAGACTGCATGGTGACTCTCAGACATGGCGGTCCTAAGGAAAGTCGGTTCTTCGAGAACCGGGTGCACATGGGATACCCTGACAGTCTGCCTGTGGCTTACAAGTGGTTGGAGAGTGTTCTGTCGCCTAATGCCAAGCAGATGAAGAACTGAGTGGGTGTTAAGGTGTCTATGTAGTCTGCTTGAGACAATCTGTTATTGAAATTGAATGTTATCATACATATGTATTCTTTTAAACTTCATACAATATAAATTTTTCAATTGCTATGAATATTGGGACAACTTTCTACTCCCCAGATATCGATAATTTCCAAATTAGCCCCTCAAGAACCCCTGTATAGCCTGGCAAGCTAACTAACCAAACTCACTTTCTGAAGAGTGCGATGTTCTCATTGAAGACATTCGCATTATCCACCTGCTTGGCAACACTTGTACCATCAATATCAACCATACTGTCCGAGCCCACGGTGTTCAGGTTATAGACGCTGATCGACGACGAGCCTTCGATACTGAAAATTGAGTTCTGGCAGCTCCTTCCGGAGTCCTGAGCCGAGCATGCTGCAAAATATTAGTTGAAGTGTAGGTAAGGTGATATATGGAATGTGATACTTACAAGCATCGTTGTTGTCGAAGAACGAGTATAGGCCGGCACCATAAACGAAGATATCAGTCGAGTCCAGGACCCGCAGGCCCCAACCTTCAGAACAATGCTCGCCTTTGCCTGAGCAGTAATCCGCAAAATTGGGATCATGAAGTGATGGAACAACCGGGAAGGGAGTTGTGGCCTGAGGGTTGGGTTGGTAATATCTGGTATGTTCGTTATCGTTAGTGATGCTTGTGCTGAAGTTTGGATGAACATGTACTCACGCGGACTCCGTCTGGATTTGTCCCATGTATATATTCTTTGTTGAAGCGAGCTGGTATTGGTAAAGAACGTTGTGCTCTACTGACGTACCGGAGCTGAGCATCAGGAGGTGATTAGCTTCTCTGCACTTTGCTTTCTTTATTTTGAAGTCAGACTCACAGCCAAATATTTCCCTGGGTACTTTCAATATTCAAGCCACGGCCGCTGTATATGGTAATCTGGCCATCACCGTCGAGATCACTAGCTGGTCAGCAAAATGTCTGATTGCGAAAAGAGAAAGCATGGACTTACTGGTCCGCAACCCAGAGCCAGTTGTTCTCCATGTACAATCCACTTGCCGACGACGTGATATGCATCAACATGAACGCAGCAATGCAATTTTTGTTTACTGTTTCTGGGGTCACAGCAGTCCCTGGGGTTGCAAGACACTGCGCAGCTTGAAGCTGGGAGCCCGCAAATCCTCCAATTCGTACATGGACATCCCACATGCCAGATGGGCTATCGGAGGTGGAAGCCAGATTCCACTCGATAGCAATAGCACCTGCCTGAGCACCTTGTGTGCTGACAATCATATCAGACCATTCGACCTGGCCACTGTCGCCAGATGCCCCGACCATAATAACGGGCTTAGGGTTGGAGATATCATTGAAGAAGCTTCCACTGGACAAGATGACCGGGTATGCCTCGCCCACGATCTTGGAATTTGCAGGGATTTTGAGGGTCTTCGTCACGAGATATGATCCGGCGTCGAAGAACACAATTTTACCAGAGGATGCAGCATCGTTGATCACTTTTTGCAGAGCGGCCGTATCATCTGTCTTTCCGTCGCCCTTTGCTCCCCCACTGCGAGTGCTGCTGAAGGAGGATGCGGTGGCGCTTTTGTATTGGGGCTTCGAGCGTTCATAGAATTGCGTTCCTTGAACTAGAGATGCGGGACGGTTGTTTGGGGAAAACGTGTCCTGGAAAATAGTCGGTCCATTCGGGGTATAGCGATGTCCTTGACCCCAGGCATCAACGTGACGGTTGGGCCCCGCAAGAACCGTTTGCTGATTCGGGCCTTGAACAATCACCGGGACATTGTGGGTGGAAACGTTTTCGAGGATAATACTACCCGCGGTGGCAGGCTGAGAGGTGGAGTCGCGCGAAGTGACGATGCCAACCGGGGTGTCCGTGATGGAGCTGTCCAGTAGGGTAATGGAACTGACACTCTGCTCATCATGGCCGCCAGAGGTGATATCGATCCCGACTTGACAGTTGTTGATATTGATGTTCTTGTATGTCCAACCCCAATCCCAATAGTGGCTAATAGCGGTAACGGCGTTGTTAAATGTCAAGTTGCGTGTCGTGAACTGCTGATTGCCTAGTGCGGCGCCAATATTTCCACCATTGAAGACAAGATCGCCAAGATACCCGGCGGAGCCTGCACATTATCAGTTCCTATGATCCTGTTTGCTTGTGGATACGGGGTAAACAGACCACTTTCAATGAAGAGACCCTGGTGTTTGGTCCCGGACGCGGAGCTCATTTCGAAGACCATATTCTCGAGGCTAGTTGCCTGAGCTGTTGGCCAGTGAATGCCACTAACGGTGTTGCCAGGGGGAATGTCGCGAAGATCAAGAACGATGTTTCGAATTGATCGGAAAAATACCACAGTAGATGCCCAGTTGAGATCCGAGGTGAAGTACGGGTCGGCGTCGATGAGATATCCACCTTGGAATTCTGATGATCCTTTGATCACGGGCAAGTCGTTAGGGTCTCCAATGATTTGCGTATAGTAGTAGTCAAAGATGGGGTACGAGATCTTGTAAGTGCCAGGAGGGAAATAGACCAGTGCCGGGGTTGTCGTGTCGGACGGACAACCCTGCCCACATCGGTTGCCACTGCTGATGGCTGCGTTGATAGCCGCCGTGTCATCAGTAACACCGTCTCCTAGGATTGAGGTCAGCATTTGTACCATGTAGCGTCTCCATGATGAATTACCTTTGGCACCGAAGTCCTTGACATTGCGAAAGACTTGATATCCAGAAGCGCCAAAGGCAGAAACACCCTGGTGGCTTATGGATTCAAGCCAATAGGATGAATCGTCAAGTGCCACTTTGGTTTGTTTCAGTTTACTGACGTTTGCCTGAGGCGGTGGCTTCTTTTGAGGGCCAGAGTAAGCTTCATAGTTTTCGTAGCTCTTGAGCGCAGCGGCAACAGCAGCATCAACAGAGGGAATATCAAGCACAGCTGCAGTTGCCCCGAGTGCAAAGGGCACAAGGGCAAAGATGTTGAGCCGAACCATTTCTTCTCAACAAATTGGTTTGGATTGAAATTGAGGAAGTACGACAGCCATGATTCTCTCTTTATATAGCATGCCTTTAAAATAACATGAACTACGAAGTTGCATGGTTTGGCATCGTCGCGGAGTTATCCGTCTACCCCGGACTCCCCCACAAAATAGGCCGTACGTGGCTTGGGCCTAAGATGTTGCAGGATCCCATTTGCGGAAACCCTTTTAGCAGCAATCATAGTAGACCCTAATTCCGAGATTCCGCTGGCTTCATTTTTGGATATTGCCTTTTGATCCGGGGCTAATGCAGGGGACTTGTGAAGAAAGCACCCCGCATTGATCCCATATCCCTTCCGTAAATCCGTAAATCCGCTGATGAATTGATTGAAAGATCGTTTCAGATAGAGATTTTATTTCAAATTCATCCCTTGAGGAGCGCCGCGATTCCGCGGCAGCCCCAGTCGAGGTTTCCTGTTATCTGCAGTAATTGGGTGGCTCATTTCCCATCTCTCCCCAGAATAACGGGGATAAGTCCGGGGATCAGCAAAGCCAGAACGTTTCCAGCCTTGTAGTAATTGGCTCATAGTACAGGGAGTGTGCTTACAGACTACGGCCTGAGTCATGGGTTACGTCCAGATATTCGGAGTGACGGTAAACACGACCTTCCACGCACTATGTTGTAGCGTAGTTTAAGACAACCTTTTTTTCTCCCTATTTGTGTCAAGCTATTTATTCCTTCGAAAAACAAGAATTAAATTCACGTGTCTCATTTCAAACTCGAAGATCGTCAATGGCTCCTACCTCCATTTTATTAGGTGTGCTTCTTCTCCATGGTGTACACGGCCTCACTGGCAAACGAGGCATTGCCTACAACAACAACAATCCCTCCAAGGATGCAGTCTACGCAAACTTGTTCAAAGGAGACAACAAGGTCTCGTGGGGCTATGATTGGGGATACCCCTCCTGGAACCTAGATTCCTCATTCGAATTGTAAGTCAAACCCCAAAGAGCTGTCAACCTCGATACTAAATGAATAAACAGCGTACCGATGCTCTGGGGCCTCCCAAATGGGCCTGATGCAGACTGGACCGCAGCTGTGCAGTCTCCTGGAACATTTAACATCCTTGGATTCAATGAACCCGATCTGACTTACGATGCCTCATCCAATATCGTACCGGAAAAGGCCGCCGCGGGGTACCTCACGTACATCCAGCCATTTGCGGGAACTGTACGAATCGGATCTCCCAGCGTGCTGTGGAACAACGTGGGATCCTCGTCTGGCGGTGCCTACAATACCGCCACCTGGACTCAGTACTTCTTGGGAAACTGCACAGGTTGTCAGTTGGATTTTGCAGCGATTCATTATTACCAGGACTGTGTTACCCCGGAGGGCCAGAATGGGGCTGCTTGGTTTGAGGGTAATGTCACAGATGCGCACGATGTTTTGGGTTTGCCGATCTGGATCACCGAATTTGAGTGTTATGGTAATGAGGAACAGCAGATTGCGTTTTTGGAACAAGCTCTTCCTTGGTTGGATTCGCAGGACTACGTGGAGAGGTATGCCTATTTTGGTGCTTTCCCGGAATATCTCATAAATGCCGATGGCACTGAGCTATCGGATTTGGGGGACGCTTATGCCAACATCTAAATTTTCCTCGATATGAAGCAGTGGAACATCCTGTTGAACTGGATATAGGTGCGAAAGGATAAGGATTGAATGGAACTCAATGACTCCCATTTGGAGGTTCTATATCTGTCATCTGCTTCTCGGCGTAAGATTTGTATTTAGCTAGAGTCAGGAGGGTCTTATCAGTGTTTAGGTGCTAAGGTCTACTACAGCTCGAAGTCTCTCTGTGTCTCCTGGAATAGCCTTAGTGAAAAGAATCCTCTTCCGTATTCTCCCATGTTGGGATTTAGCATAATACGCAATCTTTATTAGTGAATATGCATCCTTCCAGGAAGCGCCACACAAAGGGTCTCTTTGGGGAGACTCTTGGAAGAGCTGGGGAGAAAGTCTGTGCACAATTCATATGGGTGAAGTGGGAGGATGGAGAGAAGGAAAGGAAAACTAGCTAGCCACTAACTCCTGTCACCAGGAGTAGCTCAACCTCGGGCTCCAAAAATATAGCCCTTCTACTGGATGGGACTAAGAAGTAATGCGTATTTTGACACTCCCACATTCCTGGTAAATGCCGATAAGTCCCTCTCCCCACGATTTTCTTTTTAATCTACCGAATGTCCCGCAGGCGAACCCTGCAAAATATGCATGTTTAATCAAGAAATGTCAGTCTATGGCCGTATCTGCGAGGTTCATGTCCACTAAGCCGATTCTGACAAGAACTCCGGCACTGAGCGCTATAAAATGTAACCATATAGAATACGAGTGCATTAATATAGTTTACACAGCGGAATCCCGGAGATAACAGAGCTTTTATAGTTTTCAACTTCTGGATACACCTTTCTCGCTTTCGAATGAAAAAGACACATAATATAGATGATTAGGTTGGAGTAACACCAACGAGGCCAAAGACCATGATGATAAAAGAGTCACACCTGTCACAATTACAGAGAAAAAAAAAGCATCAAACTTTTCTGCTGAGGAGAACAGTCTTAGAGGATTCAGGTCCTTCACAATGCGGTTTCTTGCGAAGTATACTCTCTCTCTTTTTTTATACCTCAACGCTGCATTTGCCTTCTTTAAGGTGCCATGCAGTACACCTCTGGTGATTGAGAGAGCAGACCCGCTCATCTCACCTGGAGTAGCCTCCAATCATGTCCACACTATCATGGGAGGATCCGGTTTCGGATTTACCATGAACTACGACATGACACAAACTTCAGAATGCAACTCGTGCTCCCCGATTGAGGACAAATCCAACTATTGGGTGGCGGCACTTTACTACCATGCCCAAAATGGTAGTTTCATTCAAGTCCCACAGAACGGCGGAGCTTTGATCTACTACGAGTAAGAATATCCTATCTCTTAAACCAAAGAGTGATGCTCAAAGACCTAGGCAACGTCCAGACCCAACTACCGACGGTGCAATCGTGGCTCCCCCACCCGGCTTCCGGATGATTGCTGGCAATCCATTTGACCGCCAATATAAGGACACAATCGCTGCTGATGCGCGTAGCTTCGCCTGTCTCAATTACAATGGTCCTGGTACGCCCCAAACGAATGGATTTCCGAAGACAAACTGCCCCAATGGCCTCCGTGCTCAGATTTACTTCCCTTCCTGCTGGGACGGAATCAATTTGGACAGCCCTGATCATAAGTCACACATGGCATATCCGACTCAGACCTATGACAACGGCCCATGCCCCGCATCGCATCCCGTTCGAATCGTGTCAATCTTTTACGAGATCACATGGCACACCGAGGAATTTGCAGACATGTGGTATGGTGACAGTCAGCCATTTGTGTTTTCTTTCGGCGATCCCACGGGATACGGCCTACATGGAGACTTTGTCAACGGGTGGGATGTGGATGTTCTTCAAGAAGCGATTGACACCTGCAATGACGGTGGCGGTGATATAACTAAATGCCTGCCAATTCATCTATACCCCGACACTGTCACAGATGGCTGCCTTTTAGAACAGTCAATCGACGAAGAAGTCGGAGGATGGCTCGATGCCCTACCAGGCTGCAATCCCATCCAGCCGGGCCCCAATGATGCGACTATATTCACTGGCTGTGGTGCACCTACAAAGATTGGATCACCACGGCACTACTATACCGATGTCACGACTGAGCTGGGTTGGGAGTGGATTGGTTGCACGGTCGATAACGCAGGCGGCGTCCGCATCCTCACAGGCTCCAGTTCACGGGGGTCTGACATGACCGTCGAAAAGTGTATCCAGAAATGTAAGGCGGATGGATACACAATTGCAGGCCTGGAGAACTCCCAAGAGTGCTATTGTGGCAATAGCGTTGACCCTGCCAAGAAACCGAAGGTCACTCCGATGGGAAATTGTCTATATCCCTGCAGCGGCAACCCTGCTCAAAATTGTGGGGGATACGGATTTATTGGACTTTACCAGGAATGCAATGGGGACTGTCAGAATTTGCAGTACCCTGTGGTTCCCCACTAGGGCCAGGGAGGATATACCTTTGAGGCCCTTAGGCCATCCATGGTAATAGGACCTAGGTAGTAGCTAGTTTTGTTTCTCCCGCTTTCCTTTCTATCTCTCACAGCAATCGAACACAGTCTTTATCTGATAGAGATCCTTGGTATTGTAGCGATACCTAGCTATATTATTTCCTGACATCGGCCATTATATCTTCTCTATTGCGGTCCTAAAGCTTCTTATTGCGGTGTTAGTGTAGAGGATTTTCGACTAACCTAGATAAACAATGGGCTGTCGGCTAAACGTAGTATAGCGTCTCACTATGCTTTTATGGATGATATAACTCGAATGATATAACTCGAGATACGTTAAGAAAAAGGCATTACACTGAGTTGTCCCTGTTTTCTGTTGATTTCAAAAATGTGGGATGAAGCTCGGCGAAGTAAATTTCTCCATGAGAAAGGGAAGCCATTACCTGGGCAATAGCGGTTGCCAAAGCTTTGCTGATATAGCCTGAACGATAGTATAAATACCTGGGGATTTCCCAGGTACAATTATGAATTTTATTTTATTCAGAATAAAATCAAGGAGCTACGCCCCGCTGAAATGGATAAAACTCAGTCCATTAACGCATGTCCTGAACGGACACTTTCAACAGCCAGTCGTTCCAATGGAACGAGCAAACAACTTCACATGCGTGGAGTAAGTATTCCAAGAATAACAGGTAGTACGGGAAATTCGGTGGAATTTCCAAATTCCTCTGCGGGTGAAAACGTCAGGAATGAGATATGGCCGTCCATAGAACAACATAGGAACCCCGATGGATGTCCATGTTACGAACCGTCGTGTCCGTGCAGAGGCTATGCACGGCGCCCCCTGCATTTCAGGACGTCGTCCGTTACTTGTTTCGATGGAGTATGTACACTCCATGCCCTGGCGAAGCTAGAATATGGTATAACGCCACGGCGTTTGATTTAGATGTCAAAACCACGATGGAAACCTTAGCCAGTTTCCCTAGGGGGCAAAGCCCTTCTGTACAAGACAAAGTGAGCTTACTTTACTCAGACCGGGGATAATCTCGATGAAACGAGTACGTGCCAACAACGCGGCTACCATATCCTCAACAATTGTTAATGTTTTACCAGCACAAGATGGCAGTGCGCCTGTCCTTACTTCGCCCCTACCTAGTCCCTTATATGGGGAGCGGCTGATAATTGCCGGGGCCTCGTGAAACAGCTGTGAGAGAATACTGCAGTTTATCAATAAGGCCTGAGGCAGCGAGGCAAACACAATGCTCGTCCATTTTAGGAAGGTACCTGGGAGGTGAGCATATGAAAGGCCTCCTCCCACCTTTCTTCCTCTTCTCTTCTCTTCTTCTTCTCTTCTTCCTCTCCCCAGCCCTCGAACACCATCTCTCCGTAGCCCTGAGATCGCGCAGAGGGTCGTGCCTTACTCACACACAACCTGGATAACAACATTACCAAGTTGTTGAGGTCCATGTGTAGGTCCGCACCCACATCAAACTGACAGTTCTCGTGGAAAGCATTGAATAAAGTCATTGGCTGACCTTGGGGCCCCAGGGTTCAGTAGCCATTTGACAGATCCCACGGAATACATGGGGGGTGGTCACTACTGTGACTTCCTCTTTACCCAGATGTATCTAGCTATGATTTACCAACCTTGGAATACATTCTCTCAGACGTGTATCTTGCATCATTACTTGTGTGAAAGTTGTCTCAATCCTGTACACATTCATTAGAAAGATAATAAACTAAATCAACATAGATTTTATTGGTAGCTGTAGATAAAATGTAATTTTCCATTTCACATAAGCAAGCCTAATTGACTCGCTTCGATTCGATTCCCTTTGTGAACAAGATAGTAGGAATCACACTGCCAGAAACGCCCGCAATGCATTGAGGATATTTTTCCGATGCCCGTGAAAAGATCACGAGTGAACATAGACACATATGGAAGAAAGATTAACAAGAGTGGATTTATTCGTCGTCGACCCTCGGGCGTTTCGACTTGCGGTCATCATCACCTTCAGCTTCCTGAATTCCATAACGCTTCTGGCCTGCAGTCACATCGGCAATCATGTTGTCAATGCCAAATGGATCAGCAGTGTCCTTCTCGAACTGAACAGGACCTTGGCGCTCCTATAGAATAACTTATTAGCGACGAAAAGAAAACGTATACAGGACAAAAGCTTACCTCGGCTTCAGCAGCGCCACGGAATCCCTCCTTGGCGCGGCCCAGGACCTCGAATCGCTTGGTCTTTTCGAGCTTGCTCATCTCGCCTTCGCCTGCATCTTCGTCATCGGCATCAGCTTGGGCTCGTGGACGATAGATGCTGTTGATGGCGTCCTGCGCGGCGAACAACGGCTTGTCGTAAGGGTTATCTTCATTGAAACCAGACTGCATGCCACTGGTCTGGTTGAACAAACGTGAATCCCACATAGATTCGGAGCTCTGTGTAGGCTTGGCCAGACCAAGCGCGACCTTCTCGGAGATATCACGGTTCTGTTCTCGGGCCATGGTTTGAATGCGGCGCTCTGTGCCCATGCGAGACTGGCGTAG